TCTATGCGCCTACCGCAACAACTGACCTGCTTACTGGCTGGACATAAACTCATCGCTACAGTGCCATAGAACAGCCAACAGACGTTATCTGGAAATTCCAACCATGTTGGTTTTCGAGAGCACAAAATTAATGGCCAGTGAGGCCATATCAGGGCCCTTCCACCACATACCCAGAGGAGGCTCTGAGAGATCTTCTTGGACAAGCCTACTCCAAAAGACAGTGAAATTTGATGACAAGCTCGTCAGAGATAATAATGAGTGATATGGCAGGATCATTTATGAAGGTGACAAAGAATAATTTCACACTGGTACATTTGCCGATAAACACGACTACTATCTCATTTGAAGCTTACAGATGATAACTTTAAGAAGATCTCTATCATTCTTTTTCTTCCCTCAACTCAGTTCGTGTGTTGATCATGAAGATGACATATCAGTGGTCTTTGGATGTCGAAAGTGTCAGTGGCAATATCACATTCTGTTTTGTTGTGAGGCGCACATGAAGTTCACCCACATAGGTTTGATCATTTGCCTACTCAGTGAACAATTTTCCGCTTGCCACCACTACATTACCGTGGTCCTCTTCCGACTTCACATGGAGTTCTGGCATCTTAGAATAATGGGTTTGGAGTACAAACCTACCAGTCAGATTCAAAACCGACTAAATTTTCCCAAACAGAGTTCCAATCCTTCACGAATTCCAAACGGTTAAGTTGGTGATCACAGCTGCGGTGTAATCCTGGTGAGCCATTTATATGTTTAAAAACAATGGTAGTTTTCTGAAAGCCTCAATGCCTCATTGGGAAATGTGTGGAAAATTTGGAAGGTGGTTTTGTAAAATCAGCACTCGCATACTCCTACCGTTCTGTTTCGCCGACAGCTCAGGGCAAGAGTTGAATGAGCGATGCGGCGGGCGTTCCGCTAAAAATTCCTCAAAGCATAGAATGCTGGATAGACGGAAGCTTTTTCTCATCGTGATTATTGTTCTACTGTGGGCCGTAAAAACGTAATTCACGTTTAGAACTCATTGCTGTATTCAAATCATTAAGTGACCGTTTTCGTATTTAATACTAGGGCGCAAAACAATGAGAAGTGTTGCATAACTTTGCACTACAGACTTTGTTGAATGCTTATGAATTTTTACTGTCGATATTGGATGTATTGAGTCATTTTACTGGATATCTACCAAAAAACATTGTGATTCGGGTTAGCGTTTTTCGTGATAATATCGTCTAGGTCAGTAGCTCCAACTGACAGTATTGTGCAACCCTGTAGCATTGGTAATAGCGTCTGTTATGTGTAACACTGGACCCCACTAGCGATAGTTTCGGCTACCAAAAAGGAGCGTACAGGAAGACAGAGTAGCCATACATATGTATGTATACATGTGCACATAAGTGATCAGTTTATCATTAGAACGTAGTTGACATCTTATCAGCTGAGCTTGCATGTTCAACCTGGTGCGGCTTCACCGGGGACAGCCTCATAGAGCCGAGGACAACACTGTGAAGGCAATCGACTTGAGAGAATATATATCTTCAGCAAATTCTAATGGTGCTCACATTTGACGGGTGAAGCTTCAACTTAATGTACTGGACAACTGGAGCGTCAACAGATGACTAATGAATCCAAGTTTGACAGGGTTTGATAGGGTTATGTAATTTGATGACTAGGAGAAGGATGAAGCGAAGTCAAAAGTGATCCTCATGTAGACAGATAATTAGGCACTATATTTTAAGCGCAATAATTTAAAACCGGATTTCTTCGTGGCAAGACAGAATGTAACTAGGAATCCGCGTGAGGGTACGACCATCTTTTTGAGGTGAAGTCAAAAAGAAGTAACGAATGATCGGAATGATTTTCTTGATATCACCAAGAAGTGCGGCCGATTTCAGGGCATACGAAAACCATGAAGTCTCGGTTCCTTATCCGTGTCATATCGGCAGAACACCTTGGGTCTTCAGGGATCTCTGAAGGTTTCAGACAGTCGAGAAGCAACAGAGCTGTGGTCCTGATGGTGGCGAAAGCAATGGAACTTCGATTGTGTCCTTACTTATTACCACAGATCACTAGGGAGTACAGATGTTCACGTCCCAGTGAGTTACAGTCATCATTGTTTCATCATTCCTCACGAAGCTATTAGGGCACGTTTAATGAAACCTCAGGTGAAAGGGAGCTGGAGGAACATTACTTATATCATAGTTTGACCCCTCGGGAGTAGCTAGAACTACGTCTTCTATCCAAATTTACTGTATTCAAACGTCTCTGCGAATATTCTGCGCTCTGTCACGGAAACTAATTTTGTTTATGTACAGTGAGTGCCCAACAATCCGGTTAACTACATTTTTCAAATCCCGTGGCGCGCATATTCTGATTTATCTGTTGTCGTCGTGTGCTGTGTTGATACATGACAGCTAGGCCAAAAACTATACCATTCTGGTGGAACGCAGGTGACATCTACCTGCGTGCTTAGTACTGCCAACGAGAATCATGTGGGGTTATTACTGTTTCCTACTAACTTCCCCAAGGTCGCACCTGTATTTACGGGATGTGACGATACCGACGAAACGGTTGTTTGGCATGGTGACAGGTGCTGCACTCCACCGCCTAACTCATTTCCACTTTTACTAGGCTTACGACAGTTGATAGGAGAGATAAAGCAGATTTTCGTGTCATCTTTACGAAAAGAAACATATATTCCCGCGTATTACACACCCAAGCGGCCTCTTTAACTGCTACGAAAGTGAATTAAGAAACTGAGGGAAACATAAGAGAAGTTTTTCGTTAAAGCAGCGACCCTTCCAAAGTGTTTTCAGGTGCATACTGATTACTCAATATTGATTTAGCCGTAAGTACATTTTCAACACGCTGACTTTGGTGTGAGGGACTGCAGAGTACGTCGAACGGGGAAAGAGTAAATCTTCTAGTAGAAGTAGTAGCAGAAGAATTCACCTTGGTCGCAAGTTTGTGATTTTAGAAGTAGGCTACTAACTTCTATCATGTACTAACACTCAATACTCATGAGATGGGTTTAAAACAGAACTGCGCTGCAGACTGGCAGGTGTAAAAACTCACTCCACGATTATCTGAATGACTATTGGCCACTTATTTATGTTAGGCTTCCGTTCCCACTGGGGAATGCTATCCAGGGTTAACCGCGATGATCTGCTCTAATATCCAAGTAGAAAGCCCCATTGCGAAGCAAATACTTGTTTCTTTGTAAATTTCACACCTCTGGGAGTATGTTATTTAGGCTGAATTGTCATTTGATGCAACCGTTGCCTTACTGCTTGACAGTATAAGAAAGAAGGTGCAGTCGTAGGTGGTGCTCTCATCAACTTGAGGTAGAAATGATACTGACTGAAAGGCATTCGCGTATTCTGTTAACCTTTTTCATCATTAGTATAACTTCTACCATGGCTCTTAGTTTATAGTTCTATGTATCCACCCAACTAATTTCTGCGATTATATTTCTCCTGGTTTTTGGATGTTTATATCCCCATAGTGCATGCATTTTTTTAGTCATATTGTATCACAGTTTATTTAGTGATTTTAGGATACCAACCTGTTACTTCCAACCTCTGTATTCGTCATCACAGGTTAGAACGACAGTTTAGGTGCATGCAAAAGACAATTCCAGCGTGACTGCCGTTCTAGAATAGATCGGTTTTTCCCCCAGTGCAGTTCAAATGAAATGTAAGAATGCATTTACTGGGCCTACAACAAATGATTACTATTTCTTGATTTTTCAAATAACTCAACTTCATAACTGAAGGCTGATAGTGATCTGGAGCTCTTGGCGGAAGTGCATATGATGATAAATCCTCCTGCCTTCTAGAATTATCTATTTAAAATACTGGACTAGATGAGTGACAGTTTGCTGTTTCCCAGCACAGGGAAGTGGAAGATGGTGTTACCAAACAAACTCAGGTATATATCCAGTCCTAACCTTCTGGCTGAAGTGAAGATCCCACGGCTTAACGTTGAAAAAGGTACTTTAAATGTCGACATTCTCTTGGAGCTTTTGCTGGTTGACGCCAAACAATAGCAATTCTGCTGGGTTCTGGAATTTCATTTTCGCATTTACCATCATTACTTATCACTTGTCCCTTGGGTTCCTAGTGGAACATTGGGCTTCAGTAGCAGGTCGACATTTCACTCTTTTCTCCGCAGTCTTTTAAACCTGGCTCCACGACCGCCTAGAAGCTTTCATTTCCTTGTTGCACGACCTCGAACTTAGTGGTGATTTACCCGGTGTCCATTTATAATGGTGCATGATCTCATTTCAGTCCTCAACTAGAGGAAGACTTGCCATATCCTCTTATGGGAAGAAACGTGCTTTCGCTTAGAGGTAGATTGAAAGGGGGGACGAGTGAAAATGACTGTACTACAGTTCAAACCTTACCCAGATGGAATAGTAGCTCTTAAGCTGAAATCAGTAAAACTCAGTTAGATCACAGTGAATATGATAGTGGTACCCTACATTACCGAAAATCCTCCTGACTTCAACTGTTGTCGCTTAAGCTCTGCCCAGGAATCCCACCTTGGAAGTTATCTTTCAGGCACAGAATATGACAGAGAACGTACAAAGCTCGTGGTTAACTCAGTCGCAATTAAATTGTAAAACCCCTTGCTAAGAAGCTATTGCAGTCAGTCCTCTTGGTGCCTTCAGAAACGTTACATGGTCACTTGGAGTTTCGCATAACAGGCAAACTGCAGCCAATAAACTGATTGTAGTGTTACAGACCCTATTAACTTGCACTGCCAAAGGAGAGCTACGTAAATGCCACTGATTGCCTTAGTGCTTTGAGGTTAGTTGGAATCACAGCAAGTACTATGACCACTGCCAGCGAAAAAGGTTTGTAAAGGTTAGGCGTTGAGCTGATTTAATAAACTTCTAACGTCCTCACAACACAAAGTTTGGAGTTTGTTTTAATCATCCAACACTTATTTTTCATATGGCTACGGTCAGCAAAGTTTTGAATATGTAAGCAAAGATTATGGAAATAGATCGAAATAAATATTACGTTGAAAGTAACAAGCTCTTAAGTCAATTTCTCGAATTTTCAGATGAACAAATTCCAGAAGATGACTCCTTGTCTTCGATTATATCAGTTAAAGTAGAGGATTTACAAGATACAACGAAAGACGATGGACTTGATCCTCATGTGCTGGGGGTCAGAGAGACTATTGAAGATTCAGAAGCAAAGGTATTGGCCCAATTCTGAATTCAATGTGCTTTAGAAGAGATGCGAAGCATTGCATGCGGACTGTCGTTCTAATTTTACTCTACCATCAGTTGATGAGTTCCTTAGAACCTATCTTCAAGAAAATGGATTCTTGGAAACGTTGAATGCTTTCCAGGCGGAATGGTTCACTTTATTTTTTATTTTTAATTTCCAGGTTCAAGTTTCTTCACAAAGGTTTAATAAATGAAGAAAAATCTCCGGTTCCAGATATTTTTATGCAAAATGTCGAGCTTGGTAACTTAGTCAAAGATTTAAGATCAGAAAATGTTGAATTAAAAAACTCGCTTTTGTAATTGCAGTATTTTATTTAAAATGACAGACTTTGATGCAGGAAACTCGGTGAAGAGCTGAAGAAAACCAAAAATGAGAGGGAATATCACATGATCAAGCACAGACAGATCCTTCAGGATAAAGAAAAGCTACACTTGGATATTAAAAGGTGAGAAGGTTTGGTAATGAATTTTCATTTTCTACCCGTATATTACGAAAGATCTGACTCATCACTTGAACAGTTTCAATACATCTAATTTCGCATTAGTTGAACTTTATGTACTTTTTCATGAGGCTATGGACCTAGATTTAGGTTTGTAGTTTGATGACAAAAGGCTGTGGGCTTATATTTGTTACATTCCAGTAGACTTCTTTACTTGTCAGGCCCTTGTCTGAACGAGTCATTTGTTGACGCAGACTCGACTTCTTCTCGTAGTCAGTTCGAAGAGCTGATTATTAGATGCAAAAACTACTAATCTATTGAAACGATGTTCATCCTTTGCTTCTGTACAATCCTGCTGTACCCTCTAACGTGTTTTATCCAGCATCCAGCTCCTAAAGTTGTTATTCGTAGGTCAAGCTAGCTGTTGAAAAGATCATACGAGTGGTCGTCCTCTTAACTCCTCCTAGAAGTTCTAGGTCGTCTTTCAGAGAACTGTTTGGCACTTCTGGACGGTTTTCTAGCCTAAATCTAACTGAGAATATGCATCAGTTGGTGATCATATCACCACCTATTTTAGTAGAGTTCTAGGTACTGCCTAAAGTGTCCTAAGACTATCAGCTACGACCAATAAATAGCATGCTGTATTCTCTAAATCATGACTTACTTAGCTTCCTAGATAATTTTAGGTCACTATTGAGGATGAAAGAGTCCTATCAACATTTTGGTTATTGGCTTCTGTAAGACTCTTTTGCATGCTCATACACCCATCTGGGTTGTTGAGCATCAGCGATTTAACTAACCAGGTTGGTAAACTGTTTAACTCTGTCTGATGTGCATTCACACCCTAGTCGTCTCTGATTTTTCATCGAATTTCTACACCACCAAGGTAAGTTACTTCAAGGCATTTCAAGATATTAGACAGTTGTGTGTGCACAAGAGAAATACCATGACCAAGGACCGAGTTCTGCGTCTTGCGATACTCCATTCTGTAGTCACTCTCCATTGGAAAGTTGACATCTGATCTTTACTCTTCTTCTCCTACCCACGACAGACTCTGATCTATACAAGCAGATTGCAGTGATTCCGAAACTTCTCAGTTTCTCAAGCAACCTAGAAAGAAATACTTTGCCCGACACATTGCTTAGGTCTATGAGAATAGCATTCGCGAATATCCCAACATCACTATACATAACCTGACTTCTCTGACTATGAGAGTATTTATCAAGCAAGAGGGGCTTCTGCGAATGACATGTTAAAAACGAGACAGTATAATGTTGACTTCTAGGTAGATTTGTTGACTGTTGTTTCTAGGATTTTTAAAACAGTATTAGTTAAGCTTATCGGTCTGGAATTTTATGGGTACTCCCTAAAAACTTACCCTGTGGATCATGTGACTATCGAGTCCTTCCAGCTATAGGGAAGTGCACCTTTACTGAGAAATAGTTTGAATATGGTAATTACTGGGCCAGCTACACCGGATGCAAGCTTTTTGAGATATCTTAAGTGGAGCTCATCCTATCTCTTTGATTTGTCTTATCTGCCTATCTATCTATCTATCTATCTACCTATCTACGTACCTACCTATCTACCTACCTACCTACCCACCTACGTACCTAGGCAGCATTATGTTAAGTACAGATGGCGGCGGGGACACAGATGAGGATGTCAAAGCCAGGATCGGAAAGACAGTAGGATGGACTTTCCTTCATTAATGTGAAATCAGTGTGGGGATCTACTGCACTCCACTTCACTCTACTCAGCATAAAGCGTGAACAAGATGCGGATTTTCATCAAGTGAGTCAGTGCTTCTTTGTAGTGGTTTAGATGCTTGATGGTGCGTCTCGAAAAGCATTCCAAACAAACTGCACACATACACCATCAACAGCTGCCGCCTTCACTCACTTGATACTGAAGATGGAGATCAGATAGCCAGAATAATAAGAATAAGTAACAAGGAACTCACTGTGGCTATCTGGAAACGAACCAACCAAGAAGCTATCACTCGACATGTATGCAGAAGAAGGAAGTAGAGATGGATCGGGCATACGCTGAGAAGACCATTTGGGGCCATCACGTGCTAGTGCAGGCCACTGAGAGGAACCTGCATGAGAAATGACGAGTTGGGCGTCCGAGGCGAGAGTGACGTGAGGGAGATTGTGTGAGGAAGAAACGAAAGTTTGTGGGGTCATGGAGAATACAGAGAGGCGAGTGAAATGGTGATGTGCTAGGGGTAGGTTCCTCTGTGAATTCAAGGGACAAATAATGATAATAGTAATTAAAATAGATATTCCAAACAATGTATACAACAGCATTGAATTCCCAGCATGTGATTTTTTAAAAAATCACTCCAAGAATAGTACTTTCAGATGAATGGTTATTACATCCATATGATATTGATAATAACAGTATTCAAGGCAATAATGTGAAGTAGCCAGGTGGTTTTGGATGGGCATCCGATCCCTAATGAAGAATAAACAGAAATGGAAGCGTAATTTTGAAGGTGGCGGTTTATTAACACAGTACGAAACTTTTTTCCACCAAAAAGTCCATTTCTACATAACTTAATGCTTTTTTCTCCGCTTGTTATTGACTCGAGAAATGGAAAGTTGGAAACAGTTTAAAAATATGCAAGAGTATATGATACGTTCTAAAAACATATTTAAATGATTGAAACAAATTGAAAGGAAAGAATTTGATGAAAAATGTTCGACGAATAAATTTCATAGCCTAAGCTTCAAAAAGGCAGCATATATATATATAATAACGATAAAGGTTCTTTGATAACAGTTGGAGTATGAATGATAACAAAAAGTGTTACCTAATACGAACCCGGCGGTGGCTGATTCGAATCCGGCAGCAGTCCAGGTTTTCATCTCACCTTCAATCACTACCCGGTGTATACAGAATGGTTCATGTAACTATTTAAACAAGAGTAAATTCGGAATAAATCATAAGGAATGAAATTGTGTCCTACTCTTAATACATTATTTACAAATGCTTATTCAAGTCATTATTATTTACCATATTTGTGGGATGTCGAACTCATCTTTTCTATTGATCGAAGAAGGGTACGAACAAATAAACTAAGCTTTTGCAATGGCTTGCTTTATGTGAGAAAGAAAACCCTTTTGCAAGACTTCTACCTTTTCGAATGACATTTTATGACCTACTTTGCTATTTATTCTAATATACTACTCAAGGATTAAACAAGTAAAAATACATCTTATAGGATTATTATTATGTTTATTTTTCCCTTGGGTTCCTAGTCGAACATAGGGCTTCCGTAGCACATCTCCATTGTACTCTGTTCTCTGCAGCCGTTTGAATCTCGCTCCACGACTGCCCACAAGCTTTCATTTCTTCCTCATATGATCTCCTCTATCTCACCTTCGGACATCCAACTCATCGTTTCCCCTGTGGATTCCACTCTAGTACCTGGCCTGGTGCCTGATGTCCCCAAATGGTCTTCTCAGTGTATCCAAAATCCATCTCCACATTCCGCTTCAGCATATTTGTTGGTTGAAAAGTTCTTGGTTGGTTCGTTGCCAGTCAGAGTTCCTTGTTGTTTATTCTTTCTGGTCATCTGATCTTCAGTATCTAGCGTAGGCAGCTGTGACCTTATAAGATGCTAAATCTGTATTTATATAATAAAACTCAGGGAATAAATATCAGGTTGAGTGGACATCAGAAATTCACAGGTGTGATGTAAGTTGAAAGCTAATGAAAAAAAGAACCATAGAAAACCGAAGTAATTAACCAGATAGGATATAGTTTTGTATGATATATAAAAATAGTTCCCAAGATTAAAGCGTCATGAAGAATAGCTTAGAGACAAGTTTCTTTTACAGACTTAAGTTCTAGCAACCCGAAATATAAACTTCTACATCTGTTAATTCACCTGGTGTTGTATAGTCACGTATATAGGTCGGGTGATGCATATTCTTTCCAAACAGGTCAGAGAACATTATCTTAGTTAGCTGCAAACGGGTGCCACTGGATCCAACAGAAGTGTAATAATTTAACACATTGTCAACACTGGTTCATACCATCACAACTGATTCAATATTCAAAGTTATCTACAATGTGAAACGAAATTTACGTAAAATGATGCTCTCCCACCTTCTCTGTAGTCCAGAATCTCTTACAATGTGCATGAAGAAATCGGAATGATTTGTACAAACGAAATTTGTTCAACCTTGAAATGCTGGCGAACATTTGTGACTCAAGTAGATGGTCTCGGTTGCAATGTGTTCATTGAGCTGGGTTGTTTAATCGTGAGGCTTTCATCATCTTTCTAGACGACCTCATCAACACTAACTTCAGTATGAAGTCAACTGTCAATATCTCTCCGTAGGTAATTCGGTACCCAGTCATGACGAACTGGTTTGTGATTGGTTGTTTCTTTCGATTGTTGTGTCATTGTGACCCTGACTACATAGATTTTCCAGATTGCTGTTCCCCTGCTTGACATATGACCTTTCTGTCGTTTATCATTTTTCTTATTGGTTGATAGATTGGGTCTATGTCTATACATCTATTGATTGCTGATTGACTGACCTGAATGCTGAGCTTCTAGGACTTTCCTGATATTCCCCTTCATTTTAAGCTAGCCAATTTAGAAAAGAGCATCAGAATAAAAGTTATAAGTTGATTTAGCTAGTTCAAACATCCAGCCATAAAACTTTTTTTGCTTTAAAAAGTTTCTTTTAACAAATAGCTAAAGAATATATATACCATAGTATATAATGAGGGTTAATTATATGGATAGAAATTACGTAGTACACATAACATCAAATCTTTTAACGCCTGTAGGAGAAAAGATTCCTCATTCTCAAGGGAAATTGGCATTGATTTTGAAAAGTACTAAAAAATTTACCTATAGTGGGGATTTCTTGCATTTTCCATATTCTGCTGTTGAAATTAAGACGTTTGAATATCTAGGTGAATAGGCTTTACTTTAAATTATTCAAATTTTGTAGTCATATCTAAGCAGCTGCATTCCACCAAAAGAGTCTTTCACTACCTGATAGACAATGAGTTACACCTGTTGTACTGTGAGGGTTAGTGATACTGCCTAGCTGTCGAAACCTCAGTAGGTGGAGCGGGTTTCAAACCCATGACCCAGTGGGTGAAAGTCATCTCCCGAAACCAATGAACTATAGCTCCACTATGTAAAAAACGATTGATTTCTCAACATTTCAAAACCTATTTCAGCTTTGATAGTAATGGTGGATAATGATTAGCAGTGGAAACCTGGATACGAGTTTCGTCCTAAATGAGACTTGTCAGCTGGATGTACCGGCCTTCCAAAGAGTGCTGCTATAAAAACAATAATATGCTCTGTACGTCAACCATCGAGTCACTTGATCGGAATTCAGCGGTCTATAGCTTCCTACTTGCGTCAGTTTGCAATGTAACATGATTATCCACCAACTTTTCCTGTTGGTATCTGATTCATCAGAATCAACATAAGACCAGGCATTAATTCGTAAAGGTACAAGTTGCCACACCTCATTTAATATCAGCACGAGAGGTAGCAAGGCAATAAATTAGAAGATGAAGAAATAGAAAGGTCGATCAAAAGAAGTGGAAAGCAGTAAAAAAAGAGGAAGGAAGAACGGGAAGATAATGAGATTAAGTATAGCGGTTAATGTGAGGGTGATATGTGTGTATACATCTGCACCACTGACACCGTTTCTCAGTCATATCACCTAGAGTCTCCAACCACTGGTTTTTCTTGTCCTACGAACCCCAACCGGCTAGTCTGCATCGCCCTACACGGCTCAAAAGAACAGTCAATGACTTCATACATTGATACCATGTTTTATTCTGGCTATCCCTAGCCTTTCTCAAGCCTGAACCTATTTCGACTAACATTGTGCGGCGAGGTAGATAGTGGCTTGGCATACGATGCATATGTCCGAGTCAGCCGTCTCAATGGATGAAGGTTCACAACTAAATAAACTGTCTTACCTCTCCTTTCTAGAACTCTATGCCTAGCTTCTGCTTTACCCACGTGGTGACACCAAGAAACACGGCCTATGCTCCGAAGTCAACGGTAACCAAACGCCTAAAACCTTCTCAAGTCTTCTACCTTAAATGGTCGTGTTTTACATCCATACATTTGAAAAGAGAGAACTGCAGGACAGTACACTGGACTCCTAATAGACATTTGGATATCGTGGTGATGACAAAGATGATGTGAGTTGGCAAAAACCAATCGAGCCTTTTGTATTCGTGTGGAGATTTCACCGGCCACTCAACAAGGCACCAGGGCTGATCCAACTTCCCAGGCAAATGAAGTGGTCAAAGCGCCCGACCACTTCACTCTCTCGGTGCGTCTTTCATTAAGAGACATTGCCATGAGACTTCTCGATCAACAGAGTCAAATGCTGCCTTCAGATCGAGAAATACAGCTATTGTCGGCATCAGTAAGCGTATCTGTGTTCCAAAACCTGGCGCAGTGTGAATATTTGGTCAATACTCCCGCGACCGGGCATAATGCTTGCCTAGTTTTCTCAGGCTTGCTGTTCCAGATCTTTACTCAGGCGTCTAACTATTACAGAGCCAAGAATTTTAGATACTATGTTCGTCAAGCTGATTCCTCTGTGGTTACCGCGAAAGGACCTCTCACCTTTTTTGAAGACTGGATAATCAGTGATTTAGACCAGTCAGAGGGGACCAGATTTAACTCCCATACACCAATTAATACTTCAGTTAACTTGGCTAAAACCACTGTAACACCGTCCTTATATACCTCAGGAACTATTCCATCTAGACTTGTTCCCCTTCTTTTCTTCAAATTCTCTACCGCTTTCTCGACTTCTGCAAGTGTTGGGGGGCTATTTCAATGTTACGTTCAGGATCCGACTGGACAGTGGGCAACGCAATAGTAGCTAAAGGCTAGTTGAACTGTTCCTCGAAATGTTCTATCAATCTTTCCAGTCATCCCTCCTGTGAGTGAATCACAGATCCATCCCTCTCCTCCACAGTCTCACTAACCAGTGACGTTTCCTCCAGTTTCCTTAATAGTTCTAAATGACTATCCGCTGTTACCAATCACCGCTGCCTTTTCCATCTCTTTAGCCTTCACTGCCCACTACTGTCGGCGGTCATTGCATAGACACTTTGTCAATCTACATTTGAGTCGCGTCCGCTACTCATTGTACTCAGAGCCTTCAGGGATGCTTTCACTTGCATCCATTAGTTCGGAAGAAGCTGCTGATATCCACTGGCTCTTTTTAGCCACTCTTCCTGTCTTCAGAGCTGCTTTTACAGGAGACTGGAGGTGACACAAAGCTTCTTCTGAATGAGTGATAGTGTTTCTGTTACGATAATTGCCTGGCCAGTCTATCACTGAAAGCTACCTTAGTGATTTCGTTGCTAAGCCGCACTGATGATGGTTTATTGCTAAAGTTTCTCTACTTCATTGAGACTCAGGGATATACGTGCTCGAACCAACTCGTGGTAGCTATCCCAACACTTGCTCCAGAAGAAGTGACAGTCTTCCACCGACCCTCTTCAGCGATGACTGATAACAATGTGGTCCATCTGTGTCCATCGCTGAGTTGAGCTCGGTGGACTCCACGAGAACTAGTTTTGAAACCTCCGGAAGCTCGAAAGGCGAATTTTGCATATTTACTATATTGGGTGGGAGAGGTTATGTGAATAACCACACCTGAGTCCTGTATGCGTGTCAGACAAACACAATACGCATCAATCCCCAGAGTTGACGAGGATTAGGAGGCTCCAATGTGTACGTTGGGTGTTGCTTACGGGGACCAAAGATGCTATTCTGTGTACTCAGATCGTTGTCAAGAGCTCTAGAGCTGGAAGAAATTATAGATGATGTGAGATTGTTAACTGAGAGACGTGAAGAAAGATTAGAAGACAAGGTTGAGGGGGGTGGATAGTTGGCTGGGAGGAACTTGGGCGCTGGCAGAGTTTTATTGGCGGCTGACACTTCCTGGATGTCAGCACCGTGACAGTATATGCCTTCTTGAGATAAATGAAAGAGGAAAAGATTTGTGTGACCTTAGAGACCATGGGAAATCTGCTTAAAGCCTGTCGCACACAGGTATTTTTCGGTCGCTGTTTTGAGGTTTATACTACCGGCACCGGAAGACAATGGGGCAGATGGAGTATGTTATTTTTGTGGGCCGACCTTGTCTAGCGCTTCCATTCCGTTGTAAAGACTGCATCAGCAATGCACTACTGGTCACCGAAGGAAATACCTCATTGCTGTCACACCCAATCCAACTAGCGGTAGAAAGACTTCACCCCCATCATAATGTAGTAATTTCCACTACAACGGTAACTGCTTTTCATCTTACTACTACTACCCAGCTGACCGTTGTGGCATAGTAGGACCTGGAGGGAACAAGCTTTCCACCAGCATGCCTCGTCGGGTCATTATGAAATACTAGCCCAACTACCACGTCAACGTAGCATCTGCTTAACTTCTGGTTGCCGGACCCCACAGGCCATGGCTTCTCACAAGAAATCGTGGGTGCGTACTGTTGAAGAGTCACATACTAGGACGAAACAGCTGATGTCCAGTGCTCCCAGCCTTTCAATAGTTCTGACACTGATGTCAGTTCATGTCTTATATGACCTTAATAAATTATGCTGCAGATTTTTGTCTCAAGGTTTATCTGCACACATGTGTATTGATGTAGTTAATGAAATAAAGTTTTCTGAATTCAACATGTTCAAAATCGAAAGACAAGGCTATCCTGGAAACTTCACACCACACATAAAATCTGTGTAAATTCATGTAAACAAAATAATTCAGTACTTTCGATTTTCTCCGGTATTTAATCATTTGAAAATATGTTCACATACCGTAATATATTCACCATTTAAATTCCACTCTGATTTTGTTATCTGGTGTGACGAAGCAACATCCGTTATTCGACAATTCAACTTGAAGGATGAATTGTAAAAATCGAATTATCCTCTTAAACCTATGAAAAAGCTCACAACAGTGCACATAGTCAACGGAATCAATTACACCATTGAGATCAATAAAGTGTGTTTAGTTTTATCGTTGACTTTTCAGTCCAGTCCACTGGTAACTCAGTATAAGAGAGTTCATAACCACTGCATAGTTGGTTGCTACCATGCCCCAATGGCATAGGAAGTGATGCTTTGACGTTCAAAGCGAAGGATACCGGGTTCGAACCTCAGTAAGAACAACATTGCTCGCTCAGATCCGGTCGTATTCAGTCGACGAGTCCCAAATAGAAAGGAACGTGGATCCTGGGCGCTACTGCCAGTCGCTAAGTAAACTATAGTATAATGAATATCTAGGCATCCACACAGAAATCTATCTGGCAACAGAGGTCGAACAATTCGAGTATGTATAGCAATAAGAAATATTCCTAAGCAGTGAACCACCAATGGTTAGTAAATTTTCTTTATTGCATAATATATATTTTTGTCTTTCATTAGAATCAAGGAACATTATGCTGAATATGAGCCTATCCTAAGAATGTTACGACAGAAATATGAAACTGCAATGAAAGAGAAAACATTACACAGAATTGAACGTGACAGAGCTATGAATCAAGTAGAAGGACTTCGTCATGCATTGACCTCTTTACAACAACTTGGTATAACAACAAATGACCAAAATGATGTTGACAATATCACTGATTGTAATAGAAAGAAAGCATGGAAGACAACTGACAAGAAGATAACAATGGAATATGAGATAAACAAGAATAAAGTGTTGACAAAATCTGATAGATTTACTCCTTCTACAAAATTAGTGAATAATTCAACAAGGGTAGGTGATTAACTTAGTGTAGTGCGTTTTAGTTTCTGGATTGTTTTAGAAAATTCCTGGAATTTACTGAATCAATCTAGCTAGATGGTTGTCTAAACATCTAAATACTTTTCTTTCTACAAGGAATCTTTCACCTTATGGAATTGAAAACATGACAAAACAACAAAAGTTTCAAGACAGCAAGTTAACCATCAAACTCTTCTCTTTCCATCTGAAAATTTCTTTAATCAAGCTGTCTATATATCCACTCAACTAATTTTTCTGTTACTGAGTGTGATAAAGGGATCTATGGGCAAATTTAATTGAATTAAACAATGGCTAATTCCTCAGTGTATGTAATACCGCCTTGTAGGTAAAACTTCCACACTAAGAAATCATTTTATATATTGTACAAATATTTGCTTAATGCTCACACAACCGGAAGCAATAACCCGAAATACCTTCACTAAGTTAATTTCACACGGTTGACTTATTTATTGATGCTTTGGGATAGGTATATTTCATGATGTGAATGCAATAACTTCATTCGGATAATCCAAACATTTAGGTATAACCTGTTATAACTGTTTGATGACACGATACTCCATCTAGTCGAGTACTATCTACTCAAACTACTGATTTACTATGTGAGCACAGACTACTTTGTTGCATCAGCTAACTCTGACAAGCAGCTTTCTTTTTGTCTGAGAGAAACAACCATTTTTGTAAGACTTTTCAGACTACTTTTCATATGACTTTGTCCAATTCATCATCATTTATCATTTCTCCCTTAGGTTCCTAGTGGAACATTGGGATTCAGTAGCATGTCATCATTTCATTTGCTTCGCTGAAATCTTTTCAACCTGGCTTCACGACTCCCCACAATCTTTCATCTCTTCATCACACAATCTCATCCACGTCACCCTTGACTCAGACGCCCGATGCATCGTTTCCAATGAGGGTGTCACGCGACGGCCTGGCCTAGCCTAGTCTGGCGAGTGATGTCTCCAAACCGTCTTCTCACTGTATGTCCCATGCAATACAATCTAATCCAATCCCATCCATCTCCACTTCCTTCTTCTCCATACACTTTGGAAAATGCATTGTTGGTTGGCTCGTCAACAGCCAGCCACCCACCCAGCCAGCCAGCCAACCAGCCAGCCAGTCACAGTGACTTCCTTCTTACTCATGCTTATTACTCTGGCCATCTCATCTCCATCTTCAGTATCGAATGAGTGTGGATGGCAGTTGTTGAACACAATGTGTGTGTGTGTGTGTAGTTTGTTGGAAATGCTTTTCGAGACGCACTGCCAACTCTCACAACCATCACATAGAAGCACTGACTAACTTGACTGACATCAGTGTTGAGAGTCCGGATGTTGTTCACACTTCATGCTGAGTGTAGTGAAGTGTACTGTAGTGGATTGCAGTAAAGTGTAGTGAAGTGAAGTGCAATGAATCTCCACTCTGATTTCACATTCATGAAGGAAGGTCTGTCTTACTGTCTTTCCATTCCTGACTTTGACATCCTCATCTGTGCCTATGTCGTCTGCAGTTGAAATGATGCTGTTTTGCCAAGGTAGGGGATAGAGACAACTTCCTTCAGATTTCTCTCTCCTGTTGATGGTGATTGGTGTTTGTTGTTGTTGTTGTTGGTGGTGGTGGTGGTAGGTAGGTTGGTTGGTTGGTTGGGTATCTTCATCCCCTACTTCTTCTCTTCGTTCACCTGAAGCAGGTTCCATCTTCCCTTGCTGTCTCGTGTCGTCTCGCCTCTTCTGTTAACTTGTTAGTTTTCGCCTGTCGATCCTCGAGTTTGTGCGACAAGACATTAGACATAAATCATCACCATTGGCGAAATCCAAATCTTTTGGTGTCTCTTCATCGGTCTTGCCTATGCTCATCTTCTCGCTTCTCTTGTGCATAAGAAGATTAAAATAATAATTTGTCAAGACTGATTAATATCTAAGCACAGTCGCAAAGAACACGTTAAGCCGACTGGGCTAATCAACCGCTTTATATATATTATTAACTGGCTAGTCAGCTGAGTTTTTTCTGGTAGACCAATATGCGACAAAATATTGTCAACAATTAGGAAGATTTCATTTGATGTCCATTACTACGCTAACTACCTATATGTTAACTTGTTGTCTATTATCCCTTTTCATTTCATTTATTAGATATATCTCACACAGGGGAACTTTATTAATAACTGGATCACTTTACGGACACAATTTATCGTGCATAGTCATATCAAGATAACTCCACTTCTTTAAAACATGACTTATATAGTTCTATAAACTCACTTCGAAACAAGCTTAGTAGTTTAAAAGATCCTATTGATCTAATTAAACGGTATAATTCAGTTTGTCAAATCCCTTGCAACAGCTGTGAGGTGAAATACATAGGTCAAAGTAATTAATCACGGTCAATTGCGCTGTCCGAGCACAAAATTGTAAATTAAGTTATTCTCCCTAATTGGATTAATACGACCTCATAATCTAAGTGAGTTTATAGGTCCCAATACCTCGCTAATCCCAACCATCCTTATTGAGAATCCTGTGTAATGTCTTTCAGGTGTCTTCTTTGTATGGTAATACTGTAGAGGTTTTAAATTCTATCTCCATAGGATTGCTACTACGGTTATCATTAAAAACACCTAGGTTATTAATATCAGTTGAATTTTTTTTACGACTACTAAGGAACTTATCAACTAATTCAACAGGGTAATTTGTTGATGAGTAAGGTGTCTTTAATGTACCCAACTGATTGTCTCAGATCTTTTTTACTAGTAAGTAAGTTGCTTCACCCTGTTACTTGGAACATTTTACTTAGCCGACTTTAACTGATATGGGGTGAGATAATTTGAAGTTTGAGTAACACGTCCAGTGCGAAGGTTTTCCAAAGATACTAACGTCTAAACTCCCGGCTTCCTTTTGCTTTAATCTGTAATCCAACATCGATAATTCCCCTTCACTATTTTTTAATTCATAGGTGAGTTGTGTGAGGAAGCTATGTATGTGCTTTGATTTCAATGGTGTAAACGTGTCATCTACATGTCAAAATCATACTTTTGGAGCGGGACTAAATGTTTCAACAGCCATCCGTTCCCAACTATTCATAAAATATGTCTGCCACGATAAGGGATATTGGTGCTATCATGACAACTCTTTCTATTTGTTTACACATTTCATTTTGAAAATTAAAGTTTGTGAATGTTGTAACGATTGCGAAGTAAAACACACAAGTCAAAGTAGTTGGTCAGGGTCAGTTATGTTGTCGAAGCGCAAAAATTCTGTTTAAATCCTAATTAGTAGATCGTAGTTACATAAGGAATGTAGAAAAAAAGCTCACCTTCAGCTATGCATGCAATTACACACAACTACACAATAGGATGGGATAGGATGAAAATCCTTAAAACTAACATAGAAGGGTGTAGGGAGAGATTGGCCATTGAATCTTTGTTTATCGAATCAACACTTAATAGATACAGCAACAAGAATATCTCAGCATCTGTTCCGCATACATGGAAGATCCTACTATGCATATCGCAATGGAGGCAGGGAAATAAAGACCATATAAAGGATGTCTTAAAGTCGTAGAGTTACTTATCTGAATATGATTATGGGCAACAAATTATGTCTCTGAAACGTAGTCTAGTAAACAATACTGTCCAACTGTGTGATTATTATTTATTTATTGATTACTTTCTCCTTGGGTTCCTAGTGGAACATAGGGCTTCAGTAGCACGCCTCCATTGCACTCTGTCCTCTACAGTCTTTTGAACGTGATGCCACGACTGCCCAGAAGCTTTTACTTTTTCCTCATATGATCTCCCCCATGTCACCCTTGGACGCCCAACTCATGACAGCCACTCCCTCCATGTTCTGGTGGTTGTCGTTTGGGTGACCGGAGTAGATTATTGACTCTCCAGTTAAGAGTTTGGAGAGTCCATTTCCAGTCCATCAGCTGATTCCTAGCAGATTCCAAGCACTTCCATGCCCTACCTCCTCATCTCTTTTGCAATCTGGGCAGCCTTACCAGGTTCATACATGGTGCGAACATTCCATGTCCCCATCTTTACTTTCGCTTTCATCAAGAGTGGATATATCGACCAACTGACTTCCCGAAGGCTTTCACCAACTGGCGTCATTTCATCTCCTTGATTCCAGAGAGGAACTAATTTGTTTTTATGATTTATATTTTCTTTGTGCTTTGAAGTTTCTTTAGCGATTGGATTGGTTTTACGGGGTAGGATTGGTTGCCCTATACCCAACCTTCCCTCTTTACCCGGGCTTAGGACCGGCTAGTAACTAGTGAACTAGTTAACCAGGAGAGGTTTCAACTGTGTGAAACATCCCACAAATCAACTGAAATAGAGTTAACTTGGTTATGTGTTAGTTATTTAACGAGTAAGTGTAAACAGTGGTAGGTGGCGTGCCGATGAACTTACTTACTAGAAAAGCTCCGCATATAACTTTTTGTTACTTCTATAAAATTCATTAAAACATATTGTTTCAATCTATGCAGTTACACTTTGAAATGAAGATCTCAGCAGGTTGCATAGAAGTTAATATATAGCAGAGTAGTTTGCAGATACCATGCAAATTATGTCACGACGAATCTTTGAGCAATAATACGATATCTGCAGAAAAGTCCATATACCAATAAAGATCAAATAAGAGGAAATTACAAACATTTATAAATAATAACTCATTCCTGTTGTACAACAGATAACTTTCATGACTCACCCGATTAGTCTAGTTCTTGAAAAGAGACGTGAAAGGTTCGAGTCTGAATAAGAAAACCACTACTCATTGGAGTGTAGATACTTTCAGCTGATGAGTCCCAAAAAGGACGAAGTGTGGATTTTGAATTCTCACAGATAACGACCATCGGCGGATTTACAACAGAAAAGGACTTTTCATCATATGCTAAGAAGGTTTTCCTGGATTAAATTATCAATGTAACTTCTAACTAGAAGTTAAAATCTCCTCACTTCGTATAGTTCAATTATTAACAGTTCAAGACTTTTCTAAAATCTACATAAAACATGATGATATTTTTTTTCTGCTTTTAGGCTGCAATTTGTGATCTACCAGTTGATCATAAAGTAAACCCACTTCTGGTGAAACTAAAAAATCATCCGTATAAGTTTACTCGTTTAGATAACAGAAAATTAGAAATGGCTGTACATGGTCATGAGGCAACAGTAAGCAAGTAGGTGCTTATATTTTGAAGTTTACTTTACTCGTGTATGTTTATGCATAAGTGAGCCATTTTTCAACAGCAACATTTGATAATGATTAAATTTAGGTGTGAAAAGCTAAATTGAGTTGAAAAACTACTATTATTTTTATGATAAAGGTTAGCAGGTAATTCGTTTCCTTCTTTTCATCTTGATGTCTTGTAGTAGAATACGGGAAGCGTCTTTTTTCCTCTTTAACACTAGTCATCCAGACGTACCTGTACTACAGTGAGTGATATTTTTTCAACCAGGCAAATGGGACCTGATAGTCATCACTTGTACACCAAGTATCATTTGTTGTTTATTGATACAAGTAAATATTCGATGCGGCACTAGGTTGAATTGTCTGATCTCTGAGTTCTTTTCACTTCAGTTATGAAATTCATACCAAAGAGAGCCAGGCAAAAGTATACAGGAAATGAAATTAAGCAGAATGTATGTGTGTGAATGTAGAACAACAGATCGTGTTGTACAAATATGTAGAGATAGGAAGTAAATAATCAGTCTCCAAAAGCCTCCAGATTGAATAAATCTGGCTGTCATTTATGACTAACTTTGAGAAGTGATTCATGAAGTCCAAATGATCATCTTTTGACTAGTGAGAAGTCAACTATATCGAATATGAGGACAGTTACGCAACGACCATACTGGATGCAGGTGGTTTAGTTATGATGAACTGATAGAAATTGAAAATAAGGACCATTGGTTCCTACCCAGTGGCTAAATGGTAATTTGCTGGACACGTAACCTGTAAGTCCTGGAGTCTATCCATGGTGGGTAAGAGTAACAAGTGTGAGCTTCTGAGTAATAGCATACTAGTAGGGCGAAACAGCTGTCCAGTGCTTTCACACCTTCATTGTTTCTCCAAATGATATCAGTCCATAATAAATTGCAACCAGAAATGGATAAACTTTAGATTACAACAAAAAAAATGAGGAGTAATGCGTACAACTGGTTGGAAAGCTTACAAGTGAAATAAATGAGGCAACAACTTCCTTATTCATTCTTAAATTTCAAAACGGTGCAATCTAAAAATAACGGATACAGACGCTTTCTTTGCATACATAGATGAGACAATTACATATTACTGTTATTATTGTTTAGTATTTCTCCCTTGGCATCCTAGTTCGACATTACGATACAGTAGCACATCACAATTTCACTCCCTTCTCTGCAGTCTTTCTAACCTGCCTCCACCACTAACCACAATCTTTCATCTCTTCATCACACAATCTCATACACGTCACCATCGACTCGCATGCCCAACTCTTCAGTTCCTATGTGACATCCACGCCATGGAATGGCCTGGCCTGACCTGGCATGTGATGTCTCAAAACCATCTCCTCACTGTATGTCAAATACAATACAATACAACCCAACCCCAACCCCAACACATCCCATCCATCTCCACTTAATTCGTCTCCATACACCTTGGCAAAACCATTGTTGGTTGGCTCGTCGACAGCCAGCCAGCCAGCCAGCCACCCAGCCAGTCACAGTGACTTCCTTCTTACTCATCCTTATTACTCTGGCCATCTCATCTCCATCTTCAGTATCGAATGAGCGTGGATGGCAGTTGTTGATCAGTGTGTGTGTGTGTGTGTGTGTAGATTGTTGGAAATGTTTTTCGACACGCACTGCCAACTCTCACAACCATCACATAGAAGCACTGACTAACTTGACTGACATCAGTGTTGAGAGTCCGGATGTTGTTCACACTTTAGGCTGAGTCTAGTGTAGTGTAGTGTAGTATAGTGTAGTGGGTTGCAGCGCCGTGCAGTGCAGTGAAGTGGAGTGAAGTGAAGTGCAATGGATCTCCACTCTGATTTCACATTGATGAAGGAAGGTCTGTCTTACTGTCTTTCCATTCCTGACTTTGACATCCTCATCTGTGCCTGTGCCGTCTGCAGTTCAAATGATGCTGTTTTGCCAAGGTAGGTGATGAAAAGAACATAAAATATTTGTATTTCACCAATGATGATGATTTATGTGGCACAAACTGGAAGATCGACAGACGAAAACTAACAAGTTAACAGAAGAGGCGAGATGACACGAGGCAGCAAGGGAAGATGGGACCTGCTTCAGGTGAACGTAGAGAACAAGTAGGGGATGAAGATACTCAACCAACCAACCAACCTACCACCACCACCAACAACAACAACAACAAACACCAATCACCATCAACAGGAGAGAGAAATCTGAAGGAAGTTGTCTCTATCACCTACCTTGGCAAAACAGCATCATTTGAACTGCAGACGGCACAGGCACAGATGAGGATGTCAAAGTCAGGAATGGAAAGACAGTAAGACAGACCTTCCTTCATCAATGTGAAATCAGAGTGGAGATCCATTGCGCTCCACTTCACTCCACTTCACTGCACTGCATGGCACTGCAATCCACTACACTACACTAGACTCGGCATGAAGTGTGAACAACATCCGGACTCTCAACACTGATGTCAGTCAAGTTAGTCAGTGCTTCTATGTGATGGTTGTGAGAGTTGGCAGTGCGTGTCGAAAAGCACTTCCAACAATCAACACACACGCATACACACACACACATTCTGTTCAACAACTGCCATCCACGCTCATTCGATACTGAAGGTGGAGATGAGATGGCCAGAATAATAAGCACGATCAAGAAGGAAGTCACTATGACTGACTGGCTGGCTGGCTGGCTGGCTGGCTGGCTGGCTGGCTGGCTGGCTGGCTGGCTGGCTGGCTGGCTGGCTGGCTGGCTGGCTGGCTGGCTGGCTGGCTGGCTGGCTGGCTGGCTGGCTGGCTGGCTGGCTGGCTGGCTGTCGACGAGCCAACCAACAATGGTTTTGCCAAGGTGTATGGAGACGAATTAAGTGGAGATGGATGGGATGTGTTGGGGTTGGGGTTGGGTTGTATTGTATTGTATTTGACATACAGTGAGGAGATGGTTTTGAGACATCACATGCCAGGTCAGGCCGGACCACGCCATGGCGTGGATGTCACATAGGAAATGACGAGTTGGGCATGCGAGTCGATGGTGACGTGTATGAGATTGTGTGATGAAGAGATGAAAGATTGTGGTTAGTGGTGGAGGCAGGTTAGAAAGACTGCAGAGAAGAGAGTGTAATTGTGACGTTCTACTGAATCGCAATGTCGAATTAGGATTCCAAAGGACAAGATGGAAGTATACATTGATAAAATTAATTTGGCTTGAAGGTTATTAGATATCCTATGTTAATTCAGAGTGCACTCAGTTTGGGTTATTCTTGATAACTTTAAAACTGGGAGATATACTTTGAATGAACTTATAAATCCTTTTGTGGTTGAAAAATTACAAAAATGTTTCTTTAAAGTTCTTGAGAAATCACATGCATATGGAATAACTGTTGTTTGATGATCTAATGGTGACTATTGTTCAGTTTTTAAAAGAATGGCGACAGTTTCAGTCGGTTCATGTATTCTTACTTCTAAATATTCCATGAACAATGAAGCTTTTAGTTTAAAATAATGTCATGCTTTCCGGCTAATGAACAGTTTCGTAATAAGAAATAAGCAGCTGCCTGACATTTTTTGAAACAATTAGCTGGTAGTGTTTTCTTGTAATATCATGAAAATCAAATCCCGGGGTTAATGGGGTTTTATTCATCTCAGGTTGACATTCATTATAGACTGACATCAGTTGAAGGAACATTGGAAACCTGGGAGGGTTGGATACCTGTTTTGTCCTAGCATGGGGCTCTTCAGCAGGGCAAATCCCTCATCCCACCAGAGATCGAACGCAGCACCTTCAGCTTCATTGATCAGAACACTAACATTGAGTCACTGGTCCATATTCTCCACTTCTGTCAGTTTACGACAAAGCGCGGTCATCACCCAATGTCACCGTTCAGTGTTTATTCTCAAGTCAACCAGGTTTATCCCACTGCTCACGACTTTTCATTATAACTTTAAGAATCACCTCCCAAAGCTAGTCACCAATGACTAATAGATCAGTAGAACTTGGGGATTTGTTGGGATGAATAGCAACTTGAAAAATCACTAAATCTTCACGAACCCCCGAATTCAATTGATTTATTGCTCATTGATGACTAGCTTCAAGAGGTGATTCCTGAAGTTATAATGAGAAGTCGAAAATAGTAGGGTAAACCTGGTTGACGTGAGGACAAATACTCAATGATGACACTAGGTGATAGCCGCAATATGTTGTGAACTGACAGGAGTATGAAAATAAGGATCATTCGATTCTGGCTGAGTTACTCAATGGTAATGTACTGGTGGCGGAGCCTGAAGGTCTTGGGTACAATCCCTTAGGAAGCGCGGTGATGGATGCGCCTTGCTCAGAAGTACCATACTAGTGGGACGAAATAGCTGTTCATCGCTCCAAGGTTCCCAGTGGTTCTCCAAACTATGTCATTCTATGATGGATATCAATGTAAAATAGGCATTAGACTGAAAGTCATGTTAACCTCCGCAGTATTCATAATCAGTGATGATAACTGTGAGATGTAGATGATGTTGTTAGTAGGAGTAAGGTTTAATTTAACTATATACCGTCGTTTCATGAAAAAACTGATGTCAGTCGGTGATGAACACCACCTTAAAAATGAAATTCCTATTAACCCTAAACTATATTGTTATTATTTACTGATACTAGTAATTTTCCGTTGTTATACTAGGTTGAATTGTTCGACCTCTGTTGGAAGATGAGCTACTATACGGATGCCTTGATACCGCCTGAATATCCATAATATTGTAGTCCACTTGGTGGGTGACAGTTTAATTCAGGACGCGTTTCATACAATTTAGGACTCGACATCTGTATGTTCCTTCACCATCCCAGTGAGTGAAGTTATTCGATGTCACAGCACTATGCACATCCATCAAACCTCAATTGGCCAAGGAAATAATGTCCCTTCTACTCAATGAAGACACAAACCTTTCAGAACGCACAAAACTCAAATGTTCAAGTCTGATGGGACTCATCGACCTTTGTATGACAACATACTTCCAATTCAACGACAAGATATACAAACAGATGAAAGAAACTCCAATGGGATCACCGATATCCAGACTAGTTGCAGATGCAGTGATGCAGAGACTGGAAGCCATCATTCTACCTGTGATCAAACCAAAAATTTGGATTAATTATGTGGACGACACTTTTGTCATCATTAAGAAGGATGATATAGGAAGCACCCACAACTTGATCAACAACGTTTTCAATGACATCAAATTCACAATGGAGAAGGAGTCAAACAAACAACTACCATTCCTGGATGTTTTAGTCAGTAGGACAAATGCCGGAAGCTGCAAACCCAAGTGTACAGGAAGCCAACACACACTGACCAAATCCTCAACTACAATAGCAACAACCCAACAACACACAAAATCAGTTGCGTGCAAACTCTATTCAAAAGACCAAGAACACACTGCAGCACAACAACTTCACGGAGACTGGAAGAAAATTACTCGATATCCACACCCTCAAGAAGAACGGCTACCCGCGAAACTTTTTCAGAAGATGCCTATCCCGTACATCATCAACTACAAAGTCATCGATAGAAATCAATGAACGCATCATCCTAACATACATAAAGAATATATCAGAAATCACGACAAGATTACTGTGACCACTTGGAATTGGTGTGGCCACTCATAAACCAACAAACTCCCTACAAACACTATTATGCAGACCAAAGGATGCAACAACCAAAGACCAAAGACAAACCGAATATCATTTACAAAATCAACTGGAATAACTGTAGTCAACACTACATTGGACAAAGTGGTCACCCTCTTCGCCTTCGTCTACATGAGCACTGATTGGCTATTAAACGTCACGACATTTCATGACTCATTTCAACGCACGTGGATAATTATTGGACATGAATTCACCTTTGACAAAGTAGAAATTTTAGACGGAGAGGAAACACAAAGAATACCATCAGAGAATTCCTACAAGCTTGGCATTCAAGTCACCCAGTCAGTAGTCAATAGATGTATAGACATAGACCCAATCTATCAACCAATAAGAAAAATGATAAACGACAGAGAGGTCAGATGTCAAGCAGAGGAACAGCAATCTGGAAAATCTATGTAGTCAGTGACACAATGACACAACAATCAAAGGAAACAACCAATCACAAACCAGATCATCATGACTGGGCATTGAATCACTCACGGAGAGATATTGACAGTTCACTTCACACTGAAGTTAGTGCTGATGATGTCATCTAGGAAGACGATGAAAGCTTCAGGATTAAACAACTCAGCTCAGAGAACACAATGCAACCAAGACCATCCACCTGAGCTTCAAATATTCTCCATTATTTTATCCCCATTACCGATTGCTTCAAACCCAAAATGTTATCCAGTAGACCAGTAGGGCAAGACAGACACCTGTTGGGCAACCAATAATAATTGTTATTGTTATTATTACTATTATTATCATTATTATTGTTACTATTATAGTCATTTTTATACTCAATAAAACAATAATTTAGATTGGCTATTCATCCAATCAAATCATGGTTGTGTTCAGTAAGTGATGATAAATCGTGGAAATTATGGAGAATTCCAAAATTAGAATTATTAATGGAATGCAAACTGTCTACTGATTGGTTATCCTCCGTAGATTTTCATCCACAAGATGAGATTTTAGCCATTGGAAATGGAAAAGGAAGTATTCAGGTAAGTCATGCATAAATGCGTTGATTATAAGTATGCAGGAAATCAGAAAAATAGTATACTACAGTTTGTAGGTTTGTTGTGATTTATTTTATTGATTATATATTGGTATTTATCATGGACCAATATTTGACCCAGTGACTTAATGATAACGTGTTGACTGCCATTCCTGGATTCAGTCTCTGGTAGAGTCATAGGTGAGGAGTCGTATACTAGTGAGACGAAACAGACGTCTCGTGTTTCCAGGTTTCCAATGTTCCTCCAATTGATGTCACTCCAAATTTTATGAATTTCATGACAAAATACATATGAACAAATAGAAGGAGTAACAATGGGATCTTCAATCCACCCGATCGTGACAGACTGATTTATCGACAGTTATGAACAAATAGCAACATTAGGAGAATATTTCAACAATATGCAGTGTAGATGACACATTTGCTATACTGAAATCAGAAAACGTCCACAGATTATTTCGAACACACATTAACTCGATAAGAGATGTAATCGAATTCATTTATGAATAATGAAATGAAGAAGGAGAATTACTCCTATGTCGGGTTGGAAAATGAAGAGGAGAGAAGATGGAAGCTTCGATATCAGTGTTTATGGGAAACCAACACACTGGAATAGAGACTTGGATTTCACATCATCTCATTCGATATCTATGAAAGTAATTGGGTTAGGAGTTTGACTAGTAAGTCGGAAAGTTTAAATATGGGAATGAAAGACATCACTTTACCCTCTGATATTTGTGTAGGAATTTATAAAGAGTGATAAGAGAGAGAGTGTAGTAATGTTAGTGGTGATTGCAACCTCTGTGAGATGGAATTGAAATCCTCTATGTAGGGTTACTGTATAAAGAAGGTACATTGAGTCAGTCAGAATAACAAAACACAAACATTTAGCGAAATAGACGGCAGTAGACTCTACCAAGTTATAAATAATTTAGAGGAAAACTGAGTTATGTCTCTGACCTATAACCATTTGGTAGGCGGATGAGGATGACGATTTTACAGTCGAAAGTAGCTAGATGGATGGAGGGATAGATTGATCACAGAATCTTTGTTCATTGAATCAACCGGTAAGTACCACATGTAACGGGAATGCTTCTTTTCATATTAGAGATATCTCGAAAATGTTACTACAATTAAAGTGAACGAATGAAGAACTGTTTGACAACATATATGAGGGAGTTTTGAAAGTGGTATGATCACTTTGAGATATGAAAATGAGTAATAAATTGTGGTCGAAACATGATCCAGTAAATTATACTATATCACTCATTGTGTACTATATCAAACAAACAATGTAACGTGGAATTATACTTTACGAAATTGCTGAAGTTTTTCGCTTACGTTGATTCGGTTATCAATATCTCCGTGTAATCAACTAATTTAGTCTTTAATGCTGTCAATCTTTCACATCCTGTTGAATAACTGTGCTCCATCGCATGGACACCTACAACCATTTTCTCTTCTGGTCTATCAGTCTTGATATCGTTGCATAGACTAATTATCGTTATTATTATTGCTTGTCCTTTCAGTTCCTAGTGGAACATAGGGATTCAGTAGCATGTCACCATTTCATTCTCTTCTCTGTAGGCTTCCTAACCTTGCTCAAAAACTGCCCACGAGCTTTGATTCCTTCCTCACATGATCTCCTACATGTTACGGAAATCTCACTGTCAACTTATATTTCACTTATAGGCTGCATTTCAGAAATACTTTTCGATAATTTCCTGCTTCTAAGTTGTTGAGACCTGTGACAACTTGAATTCAAACGTTTTTTTTTGTAGGGTTCTGAATTTCTAATCTTTTTGAGGTAAACGGTCAGGTAGAGACTGAGAAAAAGAAAGTAGAACCTGACATAGAAGTTCATCATTCCAAGTTTCCACACTTCACAGTAGAATGCATAAAACAGTTGAGTAGTTAGGGAGTTACATTAAAGTAAAGAAAAGTGAGTAGGGGAACACAGAAGAAATTGATTTAGGTGGAATAGATAATTGTAGTGTAGTTAGCAGTATGGAGATTATCAGGAATCAAACTATCCCACTAAGTAGACAGAAGCCAATAATTAGTAGTCGGAGGTATCCGTTGCATTCTTGTAAATGGAATAAATGAATTAGAGATAACAATGAACATTTAAATAATACAATAGCTGAAATATTTGTTCACTGCAGAAGTTTATTGAACCTTTTCAACCGAGGCAACCTACATCCTTGTGAATGATTCGGACTAATAGCTTGATACTTCATAGATTAATGGCCGGCCTTGGTTTGACCAGTTCTTCACTGATGTATGTAAAACTTGTTAGACATTGTGTTCAAGATCCTGAGATTCATAGTTATCCGACGCCTAACTGCAACTCTATAAAATCAGATGGGTCTCAGACAGAGCCAGATGAGGCTGCATCGATCACATTTTTACCCTCTGACAGAATAACAATTTCCATATTTCTCGATCTGAAGGCGACGTTTCACTTATTTGACAGTGAAGTACTGCGGTAGTTTCTGACTGTGAAAGGAGTCCTGAGAAATTATATAATGCTGATCAATGCTGTCTACTGGAACTCACGCAGCTACATAAGGACTTATGGAAAGTTATCATGTGAATTGAAGGCAACTATTGGTGTCCAACAGCCATGCCAACTTTCACCGTTCTTGTTTAACTTCGTCACAGACGTTCTAAAAACATAACTTAGGGTATGCCTAACTTCACAGGGGCTGATCTACTCTATGGAGGTCACCTGGCTGACTTAGAGCATGCAGATGACATTGTTCTGGTAGGTGAAGACGCTGACGCAATGCAAGGTCTTCTGGATGTATTCAACAGAAATCTGTGTATGTTTGGCACGTGTTTTACTGTCACTTTTCACTTGTAAGATGATGTTCAAGGACTGATCTACTTCAGGTACTGTGAATTTAATGGTGGGGAGTGTAGTGGTTGAATTCATCCACCACTTCATACTTTCGGGAAATACCATCAGCTTAAACAGGCTGGTGAGATATCCGACTGTCTATCAAAGGACGAGTAAACTGCGCTGAAATCAGTTCTGTCCTTTCATATGGCTGTGAGACATGCCCTTTGAAAGTAGAAAATGTAAAGCGGTTGCACGGTTTTGACCAAAGATGTCTTCGTTGGATTGCTCGTTTCCATTGAAATTGGTGTGTCAGTAATGCTAAAGTCAGGTGAGGGATACTAAGAAAAAAAATAGGTAGGTCGATTGATGAAGTTTTGAACCTTCGTCATCTGAGGTACGTTGGACATGTGTTGCACATGCCGAACCCCCATCTATCTCGACGTAACATACTTGGGAAGTTGGCTCACGCTGAAAAAGTGTTCAGGATGGACGGAATAAGATGCGGCACTTGACGACACGGCTATATGGTTGAAAATCAGCTACAATGGTGCAGATGTATTCACTCCATACCATCTTCTAAAGCTTGAATATTTGTACTATACATTATCTTCAGATTGTTTATTCTCGTATACTACCCAATCTTCCTTGAAATGATTCCTTTTCTATCCTTCTGTTCTTTGTATACTACAGTGAAGTGCGGCAACTTGAGTAGATTAACCTGTATACGAGGTTTTACGTTGATTTTAACTAGTCAATCAGTCTTTGTTGACAGAGTCGAATTCTGTCTTTAACCCAAGAAATATGATATGTCTTGAGTGCTTATGTTTATATTCGTCTTCTCAACTCTCTCGAAGGATGAAGATCCCATCAGTGAAGCCTCGTCCTAGTGTAAAATCTACCTGATTTTCTCGAGTTTATTGTTCTGTAATATCCGGTTTCGAATTATGTACTAAATGACCCTATTATCTTAGATACGGTGTTAGTTAGACACATTTCTCTATGGTAGTCACACGAAGGATTCTCTCCCTTCTTATAACTGAGAATACTGTTGGTTAACATACTTGCGATTCTTCGCTTTTGTCGTCCCATTAGTTTGACACTCCTTAGCAGTACGCACCCATGACCCCACCCTACCAGGGCTCGAATCCAGCACTTTCAGGTTCCGCAACCAGCACATTACCATTGAGCGACTAAATTGAAGTCCACTGGTTCATATTTCCTACTTCTGCCAGTTCACGATATAGCCAGACCTGCATCCAATGTAGTCATTGAGTAACTGTCCTCATGTTTGACTTGGTTGGCTCCACTGGTCATGACTGCTCATCTGATTTTCGTGAAACACCTCTTGAAGCTAGTCACCAATGAGCGCTAGATTAATTCTATCTGGAGGAATCTGAAGGTTCTGGGCTCTATTCCTAGCACGTTATGGGTGCGCACTGCTCAGGAGTCCCATACTAAGTGGGACGAAACAGTTTTTCAGGGCTTCCAGGTTTCCAATGTTCCTCCAACTGATGAATTCCAACCTGAAATGACTAACTTGTTAGTAGCTGGTATGGGAATGCAGGACTCACGTTTCGTTCCATTTAGGTCTCGTTAGCTGGATGTACCTACACCTCAATGAGTGATGGCTTCAAACGCCAATAAGTTATCCACTAAGTTAGTTAGGCTGCCTCAGTGCTCCAGCGGATAACGCTCAGATTTGAATACATCCAGCTAACGAGTCCTCAGCTAGCCAAAATCAAGTAAATTATTATACCCGAAAATACAAGTTACACTGGTTTAATCAAATTACCTTCAGACTTCAGTCTTCGTAACAATGTGTCCAACTGACCATTACTTTTGGGCATACTTGATTGATGAATAGTATTTTTTTAAAAAAATTAACTCATATAATATTGATAACAACTTCATAATCTCTTTATCAAGTTGGTGTTGATGATGTCATTAAGGGTGTTTATGAAACGACTATACTTAAACAAGAAAATTCAAAGAACATTGAACTATGGTAATTCTTATCTTGACATCTGATATCCTATTTATTTCATTTTGTTAAATTTAATGTATTATTTATTGTTTAATTCAGATTTGGAAAATTCAATATGTAGATGATAAACCAGAAGAACTGGTTACTAAACGAATTGGTATATTACGACAACATTCTGGTGCTGTATGGTCAATCAATTGGCATTGGTCTGGTAATTATCTAGCAAGTTCTGGTGTAGATAATACTATTCGTCTATGGAATATTGAATATGCTACAATGATATATGAAATGAATAAAGGTTTATTGAATTCATATTCTAGTATATCATGTTGTATAATACTTAGAGGGCATAGTAAATCAGTTAATTCTGTTCAATTTTTACCATATGGAAATATTTTAGTCACTGGTTCAACTGATAGAACAGTATGCCTTTGGGATGGTCGTACAGTAAGTTATATTCAATAAAATTATTTGTTTTAAACTATGAAACTTTTTCAGAGGTATTTGAAGATATAAGATTATTTATAAAATGGTTGAAAATTTCGGTGCTGTAAACTAGGAACATAAACAAGAGGAGGAGAAATTTGAATTTTTAGTTTTAGTAATTCATAGATGGAGCTGACAGTCGGCAGATATCCAATCTGTAGCATACTCAAATCCTTTACAGTTCATAGATTGATAACACCGAAAAAATGACTCTAGGCTCATGAATATTTATCATTTAAACACAAATCGACCGAGAAATTCTATCAGCACATCAAATAAGATGGAAGATGAAGAAGGAAATATGAAATAGGTCAAAAGAAGTAGGGGTAAAAAGTAGTAAAAGAGGTAAAGGAGGAATGGAAAAGGGATGAAGTAGATCTGTACCATATCATCTCGAGTCTCCAATACTGCTTACTATTATCCCTCGCTTCCCAACCGTCTAGTCTGCATTGCCCTACTTCGCTTAAATGAATAGTTAAGGACTTCATGTATTGATGCCATGTTTTATTCTGGCGGCCCTAAGCTGCAGCCTGATTATACTTCTGCCAACATTGTGCGATGAGACAGATGGTAATTAGGCTTGCATAGCACATGACACAGCTAGTCATCTCAGTAGATAAAGGTTCACAACTACATCAACTAACCCACTTTTTCTCCCTAAAACTCTTTGCCTGACTTCTGCATTACTCATATGGTTACACTAGGGAACATGGCCTATGCTATGAAGCCAGTTGTGGTCAAACATTTGAAGCCTTATCATATCTTCTTTCTTTAATGGTCATGTTTCACAGCTATACAGTAGAACAGAGTGGACTACATCACATCGCACTCTACTCTCAATAGACAACCGGCTATCGCAACGACGGTGCAGATGGAGTGAGTTGGCTAAAGCCAGCCGAGCCTTTTGTATCCTTACGGAGATCTCACTGGCCACTGATCAAGGCACCAGAACTGATCCAAACTTCTAGGTAACTGAAATGTTCAACGCACTGAACCACTTAACTCTCTATTGTTAGTCGGGGTACGGTTGTAGACCAATCATGGAGCAACAATTTGCATTTGGGTAGCTAAAAACACATCCCAACCATTCTCTGGTCACTACTTAAGTTGTCTAGAAGACGCTGCATTTTGTCAGCGTCAAAAGGGAGACATCCATAAGAACATCTGCAATAAAAATTGAATGCGATGAGCAATCTATGTAAGCACTGAGATCAAATGAACAAAAGCTTGTTTCGACTGATGTTTCGCTATTAAGTGCTTCTAACCGTATATACTTAATAGTCAGACAGGTAGACAAACAAGACCAACAGATAGCCACATAAACATGTAGATCGAATACCGACAGAAGACGTTATTGAAGAAAGATTCTCTCTTTATGTATTAGGACCAAACATATATGTAACCAGTGCAACTAAGTAACGACAAACAACTTTATGCAATCAGCTAAGAATCACACTTATTTTGTCAGACTTACTGATGTTACCGCTCGTTGTTTGCGTTGGGTGAAATCACTGTCTGAACAATCTTGAGGTCAAGTGAAGAGTAATATATGTAAGATAGGCAAGTCGATTGATGAGGTTGTAAACCTTCATCAACTGAAACGGCTTCGACATGTTATGCTAAGGAAAGGCGGATCAAATTGGAAGAAGAAGGCTCAGGATGATCATATCAAAACTTGGTACTAGTCGATGAAGTCTTTTACTATTCACCTGAGCTGTGTTGGCAGATATAGACTGCATGGTTGGGGTCCTCGAGAGGAAAGAGATCAGTGGTTGAGGACTTTTGGTGACATGCCTGCAAATCAATGACAATGGTGCAGATACATTCATTCCCTGACATCTTGTAAAGCTTGAATATTCGAAGAAACTTTTAACTTCAGATTGTTCATTCTCCCACAAAACTCCTCCTATCCACCCCTTCTTTTCATACTGCTGTGAACTGCGGCAACTTGAGGTGATGCACTTGTGTGCTAGGTCCCATGTTGTTTGTTTCCTTGCTTGTATACTTTCAATTGGCTGTTAGAAGGTGTATAGGCGAAGCAGGGCCAAAACCCAAAACATACCATAGGTAAGCACCTTCGTGCGTAAAATGAACGCCACAGTGAAACGAGAAGATTTTGAAGTGACTACGCAACTCGGTGAGATATACAGTGTTAGCAAAATGGCGATATTTCAATGGTGATCTAGGTTGGCACTGAAGTTTTCTTTCCACTTACTTCCACTTGAATTGATCGTCAAAATATATCTGCAACCTAGTATATGCCACAACGTTTCCATTAAGAATTGATCACCTAATTTCTACTTTGAAACGAATACTGGTTATTCACATCATGTAAGGTGTCAACAGTATTACCGCCTCTCTATGTAATACATTGAGTCGTAATACAACTTTTAACAATGTCCTGTTGATTTCTAATCTGATTAAACGATTATCTGGTTGTAGATATTCAAAACAAGTTGGGGTTTGATGGTTTGAAAATGATTTTGGCATTAGGTCAAAATAATGATATTCATTATTTTGGTATTTCTATTTCCCAATGAGAATGCAAAACAAAGTAAGCCTATTTCAACTGATGTTTTGCTCCTTAGTACTCCTAACAGCTTTATCCAAGTTGTAGTAAACCGGAATTCATAATATCCTCCAAGCTTATATAATGATAACTTGACAAGTGTTCCTCTGCATGAATGATTCTACGTTGTTAGAATTGTAGAACATAAGATGATATCTATATGTGGTGTTGTGTGTGTGTGTGGAGTGTATGAATTAAAGATGGGGATTTGTATGTATACACTTGTGTTGATAGGTCTTGTCTCCTGTGTCTGTTGGTTATGTCAGTATGTGGGGGTGAGTTGAGATCAGGTCAAACTACGTCCTACTAGCTTATTTCCACTTAGAAAATTTTTAATCCCACTTAATGTGAAGAGATTCTGCTAAGAGACGTTCTTTATAGTTTTCCCGAAGCCTTTCTGAATAATTTCGATATTGTCGAAGAGTCGACTATGTGACCTGAAATTTATGCTGTGTGGAGGTGTGGCTGATGTGTTTACATGTTTTTTTCAGTTCCACTGGATTTCTAGGGAGTTGGGTAGAGACTCTTAGTTGTTCATTTTTCCTAATTTTGATATCACACGGAATTTGTCCTATGTATATACTACAATACAGTTTGAGCATTTCACTTTTTTATCTTTCAGTCATATTGAGTGTAGTTGGGTTTTCTGTCAGCCTTCGTGGCTAGTTGAATGATTCTACACCCATGGTGACCAGCTACATACTTTTTAACAGCCACCATCAATCTTATTCCCCCATTAAATGTCTGGTTGATGCCATTTACCTTGAAGTATCTCTTGACTACTAAGGGGTTCCAGTGTCAATCTTTGGAAAGTCACTGAAGTATTTGTAATCAAAATGATTTATCCTATATATATATATATATATATATATATATATATATATATATATATATATATATATATAAGCTGATGTATATATGTCAAATGCTGAACTAATGGCTCAGGTTTTAATCGATAATGTGACAATGTATAGAAGGTACATTGTAATATGTGACGCAGATGTGATGCTTAGGGTTTATTAAAATGGCCTAATACTGTGCAAGATCATATCAGTATGACGTGTGAGGAGGAAAATGACCATCAACTTGCATTTTTTGATATACACTGGTGTCGGAGGAAAGATGGATCTATCAGACGATAAATCTATAAAAAGCCTACTTGAACGAGACAATATTTGAGTTTCTACAATGAAATATAACAGAGGCTTAGTAAGTTGCTTATTCAAAAGGATCCAACCTATTTGTACATCTGATACAATGGATGATGACAGCAAATTTCTGACAGAAACACTTATAGAAAACGGATATCTATTAGAGCTAACCCCAAAGCCTCGAAGAAGGATCCATTTCTTAAGGTACCATACGGAGAGAAAACGAGTAGTATGATATTGAAACAGATATTGACTTCGGTTACCAGTAAAACATACTATGCAGATCAGTGTACGACTATTAGGACAATAAAACACCTGCTTCACCAAAAACCTTAGCCTCCCATAAATGATTATGTCACATCCCCTTGTGTTTACCAATCTACACCTACATGTGGCCACACATACTAGAGAGAGACTGAAAAATACTTTGCATTCAAAATTACGACCAGAACAGGCTGGCTGGGTTGCTTCAGGAAGTACAAATCATGTGGGCATCAAACTGCAACGCTACGCATTGCATCATCATAGAACAGAGTATAGAATGGCAGTCAACTCCCTACCTCAACTTCATCGACTTTAAAAAGACCTTCGATAGAGGTATCGACCGACAAGCAATTTGGAAACTGCTTCAACACTACGCTTTCACTGCCACAAACCTTTATCAACATCATTCAACACTTATATGCTACATGATGCTACATGCAAAATGATTCACAATGGAACGTTCACTGTCACCTTTGAAGTGGAGACAGGAAAGAGTAATACGAGGTTGCCTACCATCATCACAAATGATCCTTTTGACTGTGGTCGACTAGACTGGACTGGACTGAAGTTGATCGATCATGCAACAAACAACTGTGAGGAGCAAGAAGATGGGTAAACGGTGGACCAATGAAGAGACAATAGAAGATTTGGTTTTCGCCAATGATGATGATTTATGTCTAATATCTTGTCGCACAAACTCGAAGATGCACAAGCAAAAACTAACAATTTGACAGAAGAGGCGGGGCAGCAATGGAAGATGGGACCTCCTTCAGGTGAACGTACAGAAGACAGAGGTGATGAAGATAACCCAACCAACAACATCAACAAGAACCGCCAGTCACCATTAATGGGAGAAACCTTAAGGAAGTAGTTTCTTTTACCTGCCAATTAGGCAGCATAGTTTCAAATACTGGCGGCGGCACATATGAAGTGGTGAAAACCAGGATCAGAAAGACAGCAAGACAGGCTTTCCTTCACTAATCTGAAATCATTGTGGAGATCCACTCCTTTCCACTCAGCATAAAGCGTAAACAAGATCCGGATTTCCAACACTGATGTCAGTCAAGTCATTCAGTGCTTCTATGTGATGTTTGAGAGACTTGGCGCATTTCCAACAAGTTGCACACACATTTCCTTAGCAGCTGCCGTCTACGCTCACTCGATAGTGGAGATGAAGATCAGATGGCTAGGAACAATAAACAGCAAGGAACTTTGGCTGGCAATGCGCCAACCGAGAACCTATCACTCACCAAAGGTGCAGAAGAAAGTAAAGATAAATTGGGTATCCACTGAGAAAACCATTCGGAGACATCACGCTCCAGGCTGTCGCGTGGAACCCGCATGGGAAACGACGAGTTGGGTGTCCGAGTCGAGAGTGACATGGATTAGATGATGTGAGGAAGAAATGAAATCTTGTGGGCAGCCGTGGAGCCGGGTTCAAAAGACTACAGAGAACAGAGTGCATTGCAGACGTACTATGGAAACCGTATGTTCCACTGGGAACTTAAAGGATAAATATAAAATATATCAAGTAGGTTGTAGACTAGATGGTGGTGTGTAGGTGGGGGATTGGAAAAGGTGGTTATCAGTAGTTGTGAAATGTCTTGTTCACAAGGCTATGAACTATACCAAACATAAGTTTGTAGATAAAATCCTTTTTAATTCTTGTCCTGATTGAGGTTTGTATATCAACATAAATAGCCAGATATCAAAGCGACTGACTGGTTACAGTGACTTGTGAAATATTAAAAATATATAGTTTAAAAATAAATACAAAGTTAATTGAATGGTTCAAGAATATCTTGGTGGCTGATGAATTCGAACTAGTGAACATTATTTTACATCGACTTTGTACAGATGCACAAATCAGTATAGATCCTGACACAGAAGTGGATTACTTCAAATTAACACACTTCATATCAGTATATCAGAAAAGAAGCGAATGAGGAAAGGATCGTATTAACGTAGGCGTAAGCATATGACATGAAAGACAGAATAATTGAATGACTTTTAGTGGAATTTTGGCTTTAGATGTACGGAGTGAAACTCGGCCACTAAGCGTATTCAACTCCAAGCTGGTATTCATGCTCGGTTGATATCAGTTGAAGAGGCAATGAAAACATGGAAGTAATAGACAGATATTTCGTTCGATTAGTATGTACCCCCTCAATAGTGCTCACCTATGACTCCTCTACGGGGTTCGAACCCAGGATCTGCAGATTCTGAAAGGAGTATGTTACCTACTGGTGATAAATTTTTGTTCAACAAAATATTCACAAATGTTGAAGTGATGGAATTATTCGATAGGTTTATGATCAACCTTGTATCATCTTGAAGATCCAGATTCTGATTCACGAAAGGTCATCATCTCTTATTGTACACTATAACATAACTAAAAGTGTAGGATATAGAATAGGCAACTTTTAACAGTTCCTTACGTAACAAATGCACGCTGAGACTGATAAACTCACATTTTTAAACATTTGATTGATTAAAATTATCAATGGTACATAAAAAAACTACACTGAAGATCAGAAAAACATCGGTAAAATCATATAGCGATTATCAACAGCCTCATTTTCAAATAACACATAAATGGAAAATGATATCACGTCGTATGAAGCGACCCTGTGTCATATTATTGACTTTCGCCTTCTAGTTTAATGATGAGGGAGTGAAGTGGTGGAATGTATCGACCACTTCATTTACTTGGGGAGTAGCATCAGCCTGAACGGGTTACTAACGAAATCTCACCTTGGATACAGAAGTCCCGTTTGTTATTTGGCAACCTAAATCATATGTTGCACCAACTGGTAAGCTATTCAACTATCTGTCTAGCAAAAGATGATTATACTGCTCTACAATCCGTTCTGTCCTCTCAAATGGGTTTGAGACATTATCTTGAAAACCAAAAGACATGAAGCGATCAAAGGGTGTCTTCATAGCATTTCTCTCGTTTAGTGGAATCGCCGTGCAAATTATGTTGAGGTCACGTGAAAGGTACTAGGTAAGACAGGCAAGTCGATTGATGTAGGATTAGGTTAGAAGAGGGAGGGTTCAGGATGGTTAGACCAAGACATGGCACCATTCTATGAAATCTGGCTGTTGGTTTGAGCTGAGTGGATATACATTCACCACCAAGCTGGGGTCACCGAGATGAAAGGAATCATTGATTGAGAACTCTTGGTGAAATCTCTGGAAACCGGTTACAGTAGCGTAGATGTATTCACTCCTCGATATCTTCTAAAGGTTGAATACTTGTTCTATCCGTTATCTTCAAATTGCTTATTCTCTCATACACTTCTGTCTACTTTCATATCAGCCTTTTTCTATCCACTTGTTCCTTGAGTACTGTTATGAAGTGTGGCAATTTGAACAGATACACTCATGTCCGAGGTTCTACGTTGATTTTGTCTGTCTCTCAGTCAGTCAGTCAATCAGTCTGTTTGTCTATCTGTCTGTCTATTGACTGTCACTGAGTCAATGAATATCCTACACTCAAGGTAGCAAGTACATAAGAAGAACTGAAAGGAAGGTATTCATTCAGTTCTCTGAACACATTCTAAATAGGTTATACTTGTAGGGAGGCAAGGTTTAGATCAGTCTAATTTGCAAAAAATCACGTGAATACAAGACCACTTTTTAAAATGCTAAATGCTTACTAAGTTCCTGGACAACTACATCTTACAGAAGCAACTTCTATGAAACATTTTCAACTGAAGGTGTACACAACAAATTGGAGTGATATCAATCTCTCAATTATTTGATAACTTAAATTTGATCTCATTTCGTTTTGGTTACTTAATTTTTCCTATTTTACTCGTTCATTATTCTCGAATCATTGAGTTGATCGCGTTCTTATGAATGTCATCTCTCTGAATATTACACGACCTTTTAGTCTGTATTAGTTGTCTCTGTTTTAACATTTCTACTATGTGTGTGCTTTTTGTAGCTGAAGATATACCTTCAAAATAAAGTGATACTGTGAAATCTTGCAAACCGGATTTTTTTTCCCGGTTTACGCCTTATATTTTTATTTCATTCTATCCATTGAAGTATAGATGGCTTTGAAGTCAATTGAAGGATAGCTGATACTGAGACGTTGATCCTCGAAATGATCTCTTTCTCAGCCTACCAGCTAAATAGGATTTCATGTCGTAGGGTTCCAAGCTATTCAATTAGAGTAAAGTTCAGCTTCTATGCTATCATTCAACAAAGATTGTTTGAATAGACTACTAAATTAGGATAGTCGTGTTTTCAGTAGCATATAATAGATGACAGTAAGAACTATTGTCTTTCTATTGGTGAAATATTGGAAAGAGATAATTAGCTATTTAAACTGTACTAACCTCCTTTATACCAATCCTAATATTAGTTCTTAGCTGAGAAGTGAACCGTTTGAAAGTTAATATACGTGCACCAATCTCACCACCCAAATAACTGAATAGTAATGCCTGTGATCATATCATCCGATCTCTTGAAGGGTATCAATTCACTCGGGGTCGCATATACGCCTTACTGATGAACGCCAATAAGCTCAGACCCTAAGTTAACCAGAGCTTCTTACGGATTGCCTTCACCTAACTATGTTGAATGCTTCGTAGATAGTAGTAGAATGTACGACACGACTTTCATCTTATTTAGGACTCATGGGAAACATTTAAACCATTATGAAGTTTACATCTTAAATGTTTCTTTCATAACATTAATAGCTACTTCTGTTCTCAATTTTATTTTCTTGAAGGGTCTATGTGAACATACATTTTTAGGACATACACATTCAATTAATCATGCTATATTCAATCAACAAGGTACTAATGTAATATCATGTGATAGTGGAGGTTTTATAAGATTATGGGATCTTCGAAAGTTGAACAATTACACATTTGCAGTGAATCTACCGACAATTACAACAAAAACACATACATCTACTACTACTACTAATAATAATAATAATAATCATAACAATAATAATAATAGTGTCGATATGAAACAACTTCCAACTTCCTTCGACTTGAATCAATCCTACAGAAAATCTCATCGTTCACAAAAGCATCATAATCAATCAAATTTACACCAAAAACAGTTTACACCATATGAACACTATAAAATTGGTGCTAATCAATTAGTAATTGACTTGAATAGTGAATATATTGTTGTTGCTTGTAATGATTCAAAACTTTATTGTGCTGAAATTTTAACTGGTCAGGTAGGTTTCACCAATTATAATGTCTGCACATTTTTTCTTCATTTTTATTGTTGAACTATTGAGTTTCTGTAAACCACTTTTTGTCTGAACTACGTTCACGTATAAAGCTTATCTCATGTATATGATAACCAATATGAAAGTAGATTTGAAAGATTTACTCACTGTTTCTTATCAATTATCTAGACAAGGTTGGAGTTTCCACCGCTGAAGAGGCTTAAAAGGGACGAAACAAATGCATAGCTATTGTTTATTATCACAAGTCCTTTCATTGCCTTAAATAGCCGTGGGGTAATAAGTATGCGAATCAAATCCTAGTATGAATTACTTTAATGCTGATAGCCGTCCGCTTCATTGTAACTACTAGCATAAAAGCGAGGTTCATTTGACTTGTAAGCTGTGATGTTATGTGGGTTAGTTCCATAAGTGGTTTATAATATACGTGATTTATCAGTTTTTAAAATCTAATGATGATGAGTTAGGTTGAGAATGTTTATAGCTCTGGTGGATGATCTTGGTTGTATTGTTTTCTGTGCTGAGTTGTTTAATCCTGAAGCTTTCATCGTCTTTCTAGACACCTACATCATCAGCACTAACTTCAGTATGAAGTGAACTGTCAATATCTCTCCGTGAGTGATTCAGTACCTAGCCATGACAAGCTGGTTTGTGATTGGTTGTTTCCTTTGATTGTTATGTCATTGTGTCACTGACTACATAGATTTTCCAGATTGCTGTTCCTCTGCTTGACATCTGACCTCTCTGTCGTTTATCATTTTTCTTATTGGTTGATAGATTGGGTCTATGTCTATACATCTATTGACTACTGACTGGGTGACTTGAATGCCAAGCTTGTAGGAATTCTCTGATGGTATTCTTTGTGTTTCCTCTCCGTCTAAAATTTCTACTTTGTCAAAGGTGAATTCATGTCCAATAATTATCCACGTGCGTTGAAATGAGTCATGAAATGTCGTGACGTTTAATAGCCAATCAGTGCTCATGTAGACGAAGGCGAGAGGGTGACCACTTTGTCCAATGTATTGTTGACTCCAGTTATTCCAGTTGATTTTGTAAATGATATTCGGTTTGTCTTTGGTCTTTGGTTGTTGCATCCTTTGGTCTCCATGATATAGATTGACGAGAATTTGTTGATTTGTGAACCATACTACTTCCATCTGGTCTCAGTAATCTTGTCGTGATTTCTGATATATTCTATATATGCAGTAGGATGATCCGTTTGCTGATTTCCGTGGATGACTTTGTTGTTGATTATGGTCAGGTTAGGCATTTTCCAATAAAGTTTCGTGAGTAGCCGTTCTTCTTCAGGATAGATATCAAGTAATTTTATTTCTTTCTCTGTGAAGTTGTTGTGCTGCAGTGTTTTCTGGCTTTTTAGAATAGGTTCTGCACGCAACTAATTTCGTTGCTGTTAAAATTGAGAATTTGATCAGCATGCAGTAAGTAATTGCAGATAATCACTACTGTTCACATCTCTTCAATCTTCAGTTTCAGTGGATATATCAGAAAATAAACTGCCCTGTGACTATATAGCACTACCGTTCACTTAAATTATTCAACAAAATATATACATTTGTCATTCATATAAAAGTTCGTTGTGGTTGGTTCAGGTCACGAATTGATCACCCAATCAGATTGTTGAAACAAATTTAGAGATTTACAGCATGAAATGTTGTTGCAAAACTATTCCGCCCAGCTGTTTGGTTATTCAATTTATACCTTTCTATGACAGGTTTATTTGTAATCATTCGGGCTGTGAATCTCAGGCGGGATATGAGTTCCATCGGGATTGCAGATACGCCTTGCTGACGAGTGCCAACAGTCATGAAACCTTGGTCCACGGCTTTCTACCGATTGCCTCCATTCAACTAACAATGATCTATTTTAAAATTCACTGTCGCCTTCATTCGACAGGTTTCACATTTATTGAATAGCATGCCCGCTTATTTTCAAGATTAGTATAGACTGATTAATGCTCACTGTTTGCTCTTGAGGAAGTTCATCATCGGCTGTCATCTAAATTAGTCGATTCTGGCGCTCAAGGTTACGCTATTCTGTTGTAACCTTGTATTTCCTAGAAAAAAACACTCCTTGAATCAGTTTGGTTAGGATCTTTCTAGAAATACTTTAATGAAGCTCTTTAAGTATAATGTATTTGAAGTATTTTAAGTTATACGCCAAGGTACTTTGGAAGCATCACATTTCATACAAAAATTTCTTCACATTTATAAAGCCATTTCAAGAGGCTCAAGGGAAATAAACAGATATTTGATGTCAGTATAAGTTATCTTTTACAAAAGTTATTTTAGTTATTCTTGAATCGTTGGAGCCTTCGAAAACATTCATGTAAAGTGTTCCATCAAGAAACTGTTTTAGTTAGGCCACCTAGTGTGAAAGGCCTTCCCATTGAATTACAGTTTTTATTTATAACAGTAATGGTTGAAGTTGAAAGAAAACTGAGATTAGGATAGGATTTCCAACCACTGATGATAGATTTCTATCATGAGCCCTCTTAACCCTATCAACTATGATAGAAAGAAGCAATTTGAAGTGATGGTTAAATATCGTCTGAATTTCTTCAAACATACCATTTGTACTGTAGGGCTGAAGATTATGACAGCTCGGCTAAGAATAATGGATTTTTTGAAGTTAAAACTATACACTGTTTCCCTTAAACTTTCGTCACGGTCTCAGTTTTGGGTGGTTTTTGACCAAGACCGTTTTTGATGTAATGATAAGATGATTTGATGTGTTAAAATCATTCCTAGAATGAGTGAATGTATGAACTTTGCGTTTTAATCAGTTTCCATTGTAAGCCGTGGCCTAAGTAGCCTTAACGGATAACGCTATGATGTTTGAAGCAACGGACACAGAGTTCGAATCCCATCACTGCAGGCCGGGTACTTCCGAATGGCATGTCCCAAACTGTACGAACGTACGTCCTAGTTATCACCGTTAGCCACCACCAAACAGTCAGTAAGTTGATATCAGGTAATTACTAAACAACTGTATATGATTCTTCTAACTTACACATACACAACACCTTTCAATGTGGATTTTCTAACTAAAACTTTGCCATTTCCTGAGAATTATTCAGCAGATATGGTTCTATGATGATACATTTACTTCTTTTATCAATTAAAACGTTTTGTAGATATCAACTTTACAAGGACATGAAGATTCAGTACAATCGGTTGTATTAGACTATGAATCAGGTTATCTTTATTCATCATCAAGTGATAAGAAGATATGTTCATGGATTTAAGTGAAAACAAAGGTGATAAAGAAACTAGTGAATATTGAACGTAGCATCATGTACACGTTTTGTTTAGTTATTTAAAGAGTTCCTTTGTAAACAACGAATGCATAACCGATTATGTGATAAATCCACTGAGGTAACGATAAAATTTATGTTAAAATACGGTGTTTTGCTAAGAAATGAACTATCTTTAATTGTGTTGCCTTTCTTATTGAGTGTGCTGAGAGCTTCATTTGTTCAAGGAATTCCTGAAACTCTGTTAGGCTAGTGTCCAATACACTGTTTCTCCGTGTCTATCAACCTATAACTTTGATCGCGTTGGTGAATTATCTAACTCCTTATTGAGAGCTAAATGTACTGTACAAGCGCAGTGTTTAACCTTTGTAGCATCACACACCTTCCCAAAATCAATAGCCTAGGGTTTGACGACTTTCGACATTAATGCTGACCTTGATAGTTTAGCTGGACTCGCCAAGATGAAGCCACCCGGTCAAGAATCTTCGCCATTTGGCACGCTGTCGTGTTACGTTGCACTGCTTGCATTCGACTCTATGGCCAGTTGGTTGGAACGCATCGGTACCTTGGCACGACCTCGCAAATATACTATTCCATCCGACTACGCTATTGTGTTCTTTCTTGGTCTCGTATTTATGGGTATATAACAAGTCTGAATAACTCGTGATTGGCCTTTGAATCTGTCAAGTTCGCACCAGGACAATTCCTAAACCTTTCCGTACAGTTTTAAGACTTGAATCTTGCATATGGAGGACTTGAAAAGATTATGGGTTCTGTTTGATGGGTGCCTTTAAAGCATTCTTGGCATGTCGCACGAACACAGAGTGAAGAAATTTTAGATGAAGGCTGCATTTCTGACCGAGGAAGATACATCGTTCCATAAAGTTGTCACTTTGTTCTAAGTGAGGCATCTCAGTTATAAATTTTTATTTTAGAGGTAAGAAAGCAAGATTTATCTAGAGATGCGGTATAATTTTGAAAAACTTTCAACAGTTTATTTTGTTTACAGTTGCTAGTTCAAAGGCTCTGTCAAGTTATCAGACGCCATATCGACACTTTTCAAAGTTCACCTTTGCATAACCTAGCTGGTGCCTACAACTAAAGATCATGCGTTGTGGTTTAAACCATGCCTATGAGTCTATCTGAATTTATGCTTAAATATATACAAATAGAATGCTCTAGTCAAGTCAGAAACAGCCTGCTTTTCGGTAGTTGCGAAATCATATCATACCAGTAGTAGCCTACAAATTTACTTGCTCTTGTGGAGCTACTTATGTAGGTCGCCCAAAGTGCACACTTTCCAGACATATCTTTAAACAGCATCCTACATAGCTGTCGACGAGGTGAGGGGACCGCCAATGACTTAAGAGTTCAATTCTTGAACACATGGTCAGCTCTGGAGAGATAACTTCACTAGAGTGCTCCGTTAGTGTCATTTACAGAGTAGAAAGAGAATATTTCAAAATTAGTGTAACTTTGACAGTTTTGAATAGCAGAAGCACCGTCAATCCACCAACTCACACCTGTTCTCTGTGGGATGAAGAAGGATGTTCAATCGCTTATCTTATCATGGTACTAACAACTTCGCAATTTTTTCAATTTCATTATAGTTAGTTGGCTTTCCCCCTTATGACCCTTATTGCTTTCTTTACCTTCTCTAGATCTTTCAAGTGGGCATTCAATCTTCACATTTCACATCTACTAACAATTTTCACCTTTCCGGACTCATTGCCTTACCTGTTATTTCCATAGTCCAAAAGATTATTGTGTAGCTTTTATCTAGTCTTGATTTAAGTTTTAAAGAATCGATCAGGCTGTTGGCTCAAGTTATATATCAGGAATTTCATGTTGTGCTGCTGATTAAGCACCTAAGATGGTGTGAATGGAAAAAAACACATTATACTGACGTAGCTCTTTTCATCCTTCCTTCCTTGCCGACCTTCATATTCCCTTTCTTTAAACTCATGTAAAATGTGGGATTTTGGGGAGGTGTAAAAAGTTTAAATCATCTCCTTGCTAGCCAGTGGAGAGCTGTCGCTTTCTTAAGCTGAGAATTACGAACACTTCCACATACCAAAGTTAAATAATATCCATAATAGTTAAAATTATTGGTAAATGGCTCATAATCCTCGTCAAGCAATATGCATCGCTGAGTGCCAATTATCACGGCCGACCTGTTTCGTTAAATACCTACGATTTGTGTAAACGCTCCAAAAATATCACGATTAACTTAAGCGGGCTTCTTCAAAATTTATAATCCACTCTGATAAATAAACCGGTGATCATTCAGGGATGAGTACTGGAGTGTAGTCCTATTGAAAACAATATCACTCACTACGAATCAGGTACATCTAGCTGATGAGCCCCAGGTGAGACGGAACACGCGTTCTGAATTCCAATGCTAGCCACCACCAAGTAAGTTAGTAATTGATGAATAACTAGGCTTTATTGAGAAGCCCACATAGCAGTCCACTTAACAACAGATTTAGATCAGTCCGATCCAGAATAACAACGAGAAATTAAAAGCATCATTAAATACGGCTTCAGGAATTGCCGAATATTCGTCCAACTTGAGAAAGCCTATTCTGAAAACCTTACAATTGACTTGTCTTTTGTTGACCGTTCTCGGTAGTTATCCTGATCAGCCGAAGGCTGTTATCTGCCATGAGTTTTAATTTTCTTGCTTTAAGCGCAAAATTTGTTCTATATGGAAATCCTGAGCATTATTTGGTATACTTTCAACCCCCTAGGTAACAGGATCTCTTCGTTTTCATCCAGCGAGTCACATGGCACCAACAAATGCTAGTCTGATACAACTATCACTCATCTCACATTTATATTTTGTTTACTATCTCGTCATCAAACCAGCTTCAGTGCTGACATACAGTTAGTGCTACGAAAGTCAATGAGACGAGATTCAAACCATTTGCACGAGATAGTGGAGCCAGCGTTCCAGGATGAAATTGCTCACTAAGCAACGGTGTCCATCACACCCAAACACGCAACACTGCACTTCAGAATTGCTTGGATGTTGATTCCAAAGAATATTAACAAACCCTTGTAGACAACAGGGAAAGAGCGTGTAGAATAGCTGGACTTATGGGGCCGAAATAGGCGAATTTTAACACTCCTCCCATTCAGGCAGCATCGTGTCCGGTAACAAACCAAGATTAAGGTGGATGACGCTGCAGACCACTTTGTCAAATATACCATCAAGAACGACTGCAAGCACCAACTGCTACAAATCTTTCAAAAGTAATTTGCACCTTATCAGTACAAAGGCTAATTCCTTCAGTTTATGATGTTTGATTTAGTGCCTTATGTAAAAATTATTCATTACATGAACTTACGTTTACGCTGCATATAATGAAGGCGTATCAGAACGCAAATAGCAGAGTTATGAAATGATAAGAGATGTCCCTGTGAACACTACCACTTCTCAGAAATCTGCCAAATGCCACGATTTCTCCAGTACACTAAAGTGCAACTTAAGTGATTAAAGTTCCCGAAAGATCTACTAATTGTGCCATCCATGTCGGCATTCCTCACAGCTGCAAATGTCTTTAACTTCTCAAATGTGATGTCCACTTGTTTCGCGCTAGGGACCACTCAGACAAGATCAAAATGTGTCATTTCTAACAAAAAAGCGCCTTGAACTAGACAAATATCCTACTGCCGAATAGCTCGAGCACTTTGAAAATATCTACGCCTATGTAGGGATTTCGGTGAACAGCCCAGAACGATCAAAACACTGGGTGATTGTCCTGCTTGTCTGGGATAGAGCTCACCAGCGATTTACCCACCTGAACAAATTCAACTCATGTGGCCGAATTAGTCTAGATCACCTTGATCCGGTTAGCTGACCTGAATGGACCGGTATGCCTAAGTAGGATAGTTAATTTCGGAACGACTCTAAAAGTGTATGGTCCACCTTGACATTTAAACTGCCTAAGTGTGGGTTTCCATCAGAAACAGCCCAACCAAGATTACAATTTGCGACTTGATAATTCTTTTCTGAGCACACCGGTCCACGAAAGTCAGCTGACCAGATCCGGGTGATGTGGGCTGGTTCTGCCATATCAGGTGAGTTTTTCAGGGTGGGTGCATCTCCAATGACCTCGTCGGCAAACGAGCGAAACCGCCATCCATTGCTGAGATCCCTGCGGGCTGGCTGGAGGAATCCACCGATCATTTGGAGCATTCATCAGCAGTGTATAAGGTAATAGCACCGCTGGAAAAATCAGTGAGTGATGGAAATGTCCTAAATGGCGGTGCACCAACAAAACAAATTCAACTAGAATGTTTTTTGGCCGTCATAATGCAGTCACAGAAACTGAGAAACGTGGCCTTGTGCTTCATGTATCAGTTCTCAGTTAGTAAAGAGGTTCGTGGCCCAAGGCTAAGTACCCCCTCAGAGCAACCTTTGTGCAGGCTCAAGTATGATAAAATAAGCTGTCTATCAGTGTCAGGTAGCCAATGCGTCAAACGTTCGTCATAGGGGGAGATGCTGCGAGATGGGTCACCATTCCAGTTTTTTAGGCACATACGGGAGGTGGTGGTAGACAGTTCCATCGGAGAAGTCATCCTCAAGGAACGTTGGATCCAGGCACTCTCAAGTTATATCTAACATGTACTTGACCACACTTCCAGAACTGGCTCGAATAGCAGATCACATTATGGAAAGAGGTACAGGTCAGGACAGCCACACAGTGCATGATACTAGTTATAGTAATATAATAAAATGACTGCTTTATTCCAAACAACATATATGACACAATGCGGAATTTTCGGCGGATATCTTCCCCGTTGAATATTTTAAAAAGAAATATTGTTTTCATTTGAACAGTTTCAACAATAACGACGTCAAAGGAACCAGAGTGAAACGAGTAGCAGGCGGCACATACCAAGTCCGGATGGTGAATGAATACTAAATCGTCCTGTTGGCAGGTCAATCAGCAGCACAAAAGTTGTATTTTCAGGCCTCTGCACAC